GACTTGGTCGATGGGCATTATCAATTGCTCATGCAAGCGAATGATATTTTACTCACAGCTATTAGTATTCCAATCGGTATGCTTTGTTAGTGACTTGTCATTTCTCAAGGGTTGTCTAATGCCCCGGCTATATTTTATTGTCTTGTGACGCAATTGTTCCGACCTCACCGAGGATACGCACAAAGCTCTTTCGATAACATCTTTGTCTATAGTGCAGAACATGGTAGGTCAGATGTGGACTATCACATATACCATTTACGAGCAGTGCTCAAGTGCATGCGCACGAACAAGCTGTATGCAAATGCATCAAAATGCATTTTTAATGCTGAGGCAATTCTCTTTCTCGGGTGCTTCATTGGAATGAGTTGCCTTCGAGCGTATCCGGCTAAGGTAAAGTCAATTGTTGACTGGGCGGTTCCGTCGATGCAAAAGGATTTGTGTAAACGGCTCGGCCTAGCTAATTACTTGCACAAGTACAGTGCACAATGCGCTAACATGGCAACGCCATAAAAAACAGCCTTCTCAAGAAGGATGCAGTTAAGTGTTGGAACGCGGTCCACGCTCAATATTTTAAAGCGATAAAAGACAGTCTCCTTCATGCTCCAGTTTTGGCTTTGCCTGACCCTGAGAGGCCTTTCAGTGTCGTCTGTGACGCGTCTGAGTTTGCTATTGGTTGTGTACTATTACAGATAGATGTCGATGGAAATGAGAGCGTCATTGCGTATAATTTGGCAGCTAAAGGCAGCAGAGAAGAACCATTCAGCTCACGACAAATAGTTACTCGTTATGAAATATGGTCTTCTCAAGTTCAGAGACCATCTACTCGGCTTAAAGCATTTTGTGATCTTCACAGATCATGCGTTATTAAGCGCTGCGACAAAGTCGCCTCACCATCACAGCGTATGGCCCTTGGCTTTTCATTCTTTGCTAAATACAACTTCGAGGTGAAGTGTAAGCCAAAAAGACAAAATGCTTCAGCTAACGCGTTGCCACGCAGACCTGATTATGAGCTTGCTCATGTTACGACTCTGTCATCACTCATTGTAGATTTAATGCGTGCGGCATATACACGTGATGAGCAGCGTGTATCAATGCTACATGCTCTTGGAAGCGAGAAGTTTTAAGACTCGGAAATCAAATTGTCGGCACGTTTAAGCACGAGCCTACGTCGATATGTCATCGATCGTGGGTTGTTGTGCTATTGCACGGGTGTTGAGGATGCGCCTCGCATCGTTGTTTCTCATGATGAGGACTTGAAGTATCATAGCCTATTTAAGGCACATGACACGGCTTTAAGCGGTCACTTCAGTGGTGAGAATACCTATATTTCAGTTGGCCAGAAGTATTGGTGGACCAAGTTATACAATTAGGTAAGCACATATTTGAGTACATGTATAACATGCCAAAGGTACTAAGCCCAATCACATGCGGTGCACCGATTTCTAGTTCACCTGTGCCCATAGGGTGTTAAAAGTCCCTCCGTATGGACTTTGTGCTTGGCCTACCGAAGGATTCGGACAGCAACAATGGTATTGTGGTCTTTGTTGACCGTTGAGCAAATTAGCTCATTTGGAGGCTGTAATCCTATAGACGGCGAAGGTACAGCAAAGTTGAATATCACCGTGTTTTTTGTCAACACGGTTTTCCTGTGGCAATTGTCTCGGATCGTGATCCACGTTTCACTAGCAAGTTTTGGACTTCCATCTTCGAGGTGCTGGGCACCCGGTTGAGCATGTTCACAGCGGATCATCCGCATACCGATGGTCAAACTGAGCGGGTCAATCGTATCATTGGTCGCATTTTGCGCAGTGTTTGTGCTAATACGCCTAGGTGTTGGAGCTCTATGCCTCCTGTGGTCGAGTTTGCGTTAAACAATGCTGTTCATTCCTCTACGGGATTACTCCGTTCTACGTGAATGGTCTCACTCACCCACGCGTCCCGTCAACGCTTCTACGAGTTTCTGGGCTTGTTGGGGGAGTAATAGCCGATCGGCTTGCTGAGGTCAGTCTAACTACTGTGCAGAAACATGTGAGCGAGTTTCTTGCTACGCGATCAAATGTCTTAAGACATGTTCGTGACGCAATGGCTGACAGCCAGGGCATACAAAAGTAACAAGCTGATGCCAAAGGCAGATAGTGTTTTAAGATTTATAAAGTTGGAGACCTAGTCTTACTAACGCTAAAAATCTACCTATCAAGGTGGTGTCAGTAGTTTGAAGGACCGAGTTGCGTCCTTGCTTAGTTGGGCCGTTTACGGTTGTGGCCAAGAAGGGCATAGCGTATACGCTCATCCTCCCACGCAAGATACGAATACACCCAGCGTTTTACGTCGGATTGCTTAAGTATTACCTTGATTCGTCACGGGTGGATCACGAGGCGCTGCGTCGAAAGAGTTGGCCCTACCACAAGTTGAAGAACCCTCAAGAGAAAATTGCGTTGTCCTTCAAGAAGCGTCACTCGGTCCTGACGATCTTGCATCTCGTGCATTAACTCGTTGACGACGCATCGAGATTCATCGATTACCGCCTGCTCTCGTTTACGAGCAAGGTGACTAAAAGTACCATGTTGAACGAATCCTGCAGCGAAGCTGTCGCGGCAGCCAGTACCAGTACTTGGTATAGTGGTAGGGGTACCCGGAGTCGGAGAAATCATGGAAGTACGAAGTGCCACTGCGGCAGAATTGTCCGCATGCAGTTGACGTTTTCGAACGTCGTCTTTAGGGTCAGTCGACCCATAGCGCTTCCCACTAGTCGGTGTGGGAGCGGAGAGGGTTGCATCTGCAGCAGGTGCGCTGATGCGCGGGTCCGTAGTCGTTGCAGCATAGCGGATGCAATAAAACGATCGCAGTTGTTCTTTGGACTTTTGTTTTGCGAAATCAAAGCGCATATTTCGTTCGAGCCGAACGTCAGCAAGTGAAGCGCTCTCTCGGAGATTACACCGACTTGGCAGACGGCGAGCTGTGTGAGCCCAACGCGTTAATATGACATCATTTTCCGCCTCCGTCTCACCAGGAAAGATAACAACGGGTACTGTCCACATGGTGGACACTGACACACCTCGTGCTTGCGGATTAAGTCTGTCGAGATGATCTTGAGCGGTCATACACTCGACCCCCATGTATCTCGCTCTGAGAGCCTCCCTCTCCGCAAGTGCCTGACTGTAGTCGACTTGGGTCCCGTGATCCATGTTGCGAGCGACCGCCCAGTAGTCCGAAGAGAGCGTTCACCCACACTCGGTTGTGTGAAGCGGTAACCACTGTGAGCATACGCTGTGGCTACACATTGTACTTGACGCCTGCGGTCATCGACCAACTAAAAACATTGAGCTCGATCTTCATCAAGAGTGTTGTGCAACACAACCAACGCAGGGTCGACGGCTGCACGCTGTGCAAGGGGTGAAGGTACCTCCTCGCGTTCCGCGAATGGATTGGGCGCGACGCGCGTGTTGTCATGCTCCGGTGGCGCAGCTGGAGGGTGATCATAGAAACTCAACGCGACTGCGTCATTCTCATAGTCAACCATGCCATCTTTGTGTAATTCCATAAGGGTATTGAACGAAGGCTTTGACTCAATCAGGTTGAGATGTGCTGTGAACACGATGGTCAGGGACCAGAGCTTTGAAACCTCAAATATCAGTAGAAGAGTTGGTGGCACCCTTGTGTCGACCAATTATCGGGGGAGGGTGTAATGGGATTACACGCGCTTATTTGAACCGGTTATGTTGTCTGTCCACACCAAGCAAAGATCGGTGGATCCGAGTGGTACAGTCCATGTACCATGTACTTACGGTAATGCCGCATCTTATCGGTTAAGAAAAGGGAAAATACTTTTGTCATAGGATCGCAATGTAGAAGTCAGTCCAGCAAGGTTTTAGGGTTAATTATTGTAGTTAAAGAATAAATAAATTTCAGTTCCCCTTTTGAACCGTTGGACGCTGGTGCCTAGTCAAGGCGTAGTGTGTTGGTTAGCTCATTAGCCTTGTAAAGGCGCTTACTCTTACTTAATTAGTAGCGACTAGTTAGTGTGAGATTCTGTAAATCGTAATCCCTTTGGAACCGGCATTGTTAAGCTTGTACGCTTGAACGACTGTACGTCGTTGTTAGTTTGTTACAACTAAGAGAATCTTTGAGTCTAAGACTTCCTCTGTTAAGGAGTGCTAATTAGCTTTGCTACACCATTACATCCAGCCCTACATTTCAGAACAACAACAGTAAGCGACTTCAGATCCGGCAACCTGCCCACCGTCTCTTTCAGCAGAGGAGTAGCTGTTGGAAAGCGACATGCTATCATATGTTGCTCCTGTGCAAAGCGTAACTTTTCGCCCAGGCTTGCCGGTGTGTAGGATATAATGAAACTGTGTGACTCGAAACGAGTGGTAGGGATCAAGACCAACGGACAAGGGTAGCAAAGGTCTGGTTGGAACGATATGATGCAAAGGAAAATTCGTAGTCTTTTTATCCTGTGTCACACCAGCCTTTCCTGATAACAGTAATACATGATACACACGAACGTCTTGTAGTCTGCTAGCTTCCAGCAGCGTAACCTTCATGAAGTTGCTGGACCTGAGTCGAATTACGAAGCGCCAACACAGGCCAAAATGTTATACCGTAAGGAGCACCTTAGCGTACAATGATAAAGTTCCTAAGTAGGGGACCCTATCCTTTAAATAGAGCTTTCTATCTAGTCGGATCTATTGGTCGGAATGAAAAATTTGTCGGAATTTTCATGGTATGAAAAGTGACTCTTATGTAAGAGTCTCTACCAGAGAGGGGTGGGCGAGTGTATTCCGATAGGTAATCAAACATGTTTATCTCACTAAATTGGATGTCTTTAGTAAATCATTACCATAAATTAAGTAATATCGCTGCGCCATGCGCTAACAAAGAAGCAGTTTACTTTGGAGAAAATTCTGTAATCGACAATAACGGTGCTAACACACCATTTTGGGACCCAATTTTGACCGTTAACACAAAGTTTGTCATCCACTCACGCCGTATTTGCCATGGAGCTAGCGACGGAGCATGTGCGCTTGCTTGATGCAGGCAAGCTACGTCTCGCGTATTCCTCGCCGCTATCTACAGGCTGCTTCGCCTCAGTGGCTTCGTCGAAGACACAGCTGTTGCAGCACGGCAACATTTACGGTCTGACCTTCACGGCGACTGAGCGAGGTGCGTACGGGATAGGATCGCTATTTTAATGACTTGATCTCTAAATTGATCAAAAGCCATCTAACTTCTCCCCGCCTTTGTACACGCCGTGACTAGGTTTTGTTATGACGATGAACAGTGAGCTAGAAGCCTGTTGTATCGACTACAATAGACGACGGCAGGAAGCCTTGGACCACGGAGAAGGAAGATTAATGATGGAGATTGGCAACCTCCCGGTTTCCAAAGAGATCCAGCTGCCGTCCATTGCCTACTGGATTGCACTTTCTCCCGACGAACTCTTGGTGGCAGTAGCATATGCGAACTCAGTCGCGTTGTTTGAAGTGGCGCACATTGTCGAGGCGGTACGAAATGATCTTGTTACTACTGTCAAGCTTCTTACATTCATTAATTGGTCGTTCCCGATCGTTACGTGGTTCCTTTATTTTTAATGTATGCTTGTTCTTTGATGCAGGTGAGCCCAGCGCCTTTTCACACATTCGCCGAGCTGCGAGCACAGGAAATTGCGTGGTGCTCAGACCCTAAAAGTGGGAGCGTAGCAGTCTTGACGCTCGAAGAGCAAGTGGTGGTGTGCACACTTGACGGGGCAAAAGCTAGGATTGAAACACCGACTGCTGCGTCGTCCAGTACGTGTCTGCTCACGAATGTACTGCTTGTGTGTTATTTTGCTTACTAGTTTTTTGGTGTATCTATTTAGTTTCTTGGTCCCCATCGGGAAAGCAGATCGCAGTCGGTTTGGTTGATGGCACGATCGAAGTCTATGAACAGGACACACTTCAACTTGCTCGATCTCTTGGTCAGCCTGAGTGCTGCAGTGATGCAAGCTATGCAGTCCACCATGTCAACTGGGCGGAGGAGGAATTAATGCTGGCTGGGTATTACAAACGTGATGAAAAAAATGAAGAGACAAATGCTCTGGCCTGTATTTTTGAGCAAGGGAAGTGGGTGGAGTTGGATGAAATTGTCGGCTTTTTCGATGTGGAGAACCGAAGTCATCAATACTTTTCTACCTTCTTACCAGATTGGCGGATGTTCTTTATTGGGTGCTCACTGAGCGCAGATATTGAGCTGCTCGTTTCAGATCCTGAAGGTGGTGAGTGGGAATTGTGGAAACCTCTCGAGAAGTATCAAGCTCGCCTTTCTATGAACGCTGAGGATGAGGAATCGTTCCCCATGGGGTTCGCCCTGAATTTAAACTCGTCATTACCTGTCCCTGTTGACGAAGATACGTTTTCACCTGTTCCCATCGTTTCGTGCTCCAGCACAGAAGGACTTTTGGTTAACTTTGCGTTCGTCGATACAACTGTAAAAGAAGTCGACTTTGTCAAGAAGCCATTGCCATTCAAGACGACAGTGATGCGTATTGCTGTGGCTGTTGAGGGACCGAAGGTATGTGATCCTGCAGCTACGGACGGCCTTCAACATCCATCTGATGTAACATTAGTGGGCAAGAGTGCCTCGCAGAATTCCACACTCTTGCATAGTTACGGTCAGAACGATGAGAATGAGTTTGCAGGATCTGACAGTGAATCGAGTGATGAAGAAGAAGAACGTAAAGAAGAAGAGGAGAGAGCTAGAACCGCGTTCCACACAATTGCATCCGATGGAGCCAACTTCATTCTTTCGGACCAATTTCCCAAGCTGTTCAAGGCAATGGGATCTACGTACTCTGAAGAAGAGCATGTAAGCACACTGAACAGTCTCGAGAAGGATGGAAAGGTGTATGAGGCAGATTTCGTTCCTTGGTACGTGAGTTGGATTTTCGGTGACGATGACTCGGATTCGGACGACGAGGTAACCGCACCTGAATCATCGTCAGCGGAGCCCGTCAAAATGAAGTCAAAAGAAGAAATCACCGCAGCATTCTCGAGGTTTACGGCCAAGGAAGGAAGTTGGAAGTGCGGTGTGTGTATGCTTGACAACGATGCCGAGGTGGTTAAGTGTCGTGCTTGTGACGCTTCAAACCCTGCCGCGCCCAAGGTCGAGACTCCTGTAAGAGTGGCGAGTGGAGCGTCCATAGGCACGATTGGTTCGGGTGGGTTTTCGTTCCCCGTTTCTGCGGCAGACGCCTCGAAGCCACCATCGTTTTCCTTCGCTGCATCCCCCGGCACAGTTGGGGTGGCCAACGCAAGCAATTCTAGCGGGTTTTCGTTTCCCGGCGCAGTGCAAGCGTCAAACCTCAGCTTCCCAAGCAGCACGATTGCATCCGGAACAGGCTTTAGTTTTCCACCTGCCGCGACGTCTATCACCACAATGAATTCCGAAGTTTGTACCGGTCGCGTAGGGGGTGATAGTAGCAAGACATCATCTTATGCGGCTTCTGCCATTCGAACGGATTCAAATGCGATAGTGTCACACGAGTATAGTCAAAATGATCAGCACGGATTTGCTGATTCCGGTAATGAATCGAGTGATGAAGAGGAAGAAGTCAAGGAAGAGGAATGTAACGCCAGGGCCGCGTTTCGCTCTATTGCGCAAGAGGGAACTGATTATATCACCGCGGGTCAATTCCGAAAGCTACTTACTAGTTTGAGGTTGTCTCATTCCGACGAACAGCTTGCTAGGAACATTAGCGGCCTCGAGAAAAATGGAAACGTCCATGAGGCCGATTTCATTGCATGGTACGTCAATTGGATCTTCAGTGACTCATATTCTCGATATAAAGGGAGTGCGACACCATCGTCCCTAAAACAAAGAACTTCCCATGGTTACGGTCAAAATGATGAGAATGAGTTTGCAGAATCTGACAGTGAATCGAGTGATGAAGAAGAAGAACGTAAAGAAGAAGAGGAGAGAGCTAGAACCGCGTTCCACACAATTGCATCCGATGGAGCCAACTTCATTCTTTCGGACCAATTTCCCAAGCTATTCAAGGCAATGGGATCTACGTACTCTGAAGAAGAGCATGTAAGCACACTGAACAGTCTCGAGAAGGATGGAAAGGTGTATGAGGCAGATTTCGTTCCTTGGTACGTGAGTTGGATTTTCGGTGACGATGACTCGGATTCGGACGACGAGGTAACCGCACCTGAATCGTCGTCAGCGGAGCCCGTCAAAATGAAGTCAAAAGAAGAAATCACCGCAGCATTCTCGAGGTTTACGGCCAAGGAAGGAAGTTGGAAGTGCGGTGTGTGTATGCTTGACAACGATGCCGAGGTGGTTAAGTGTCGTGCTTGTGACGCTTCAAACCCTGCCGCGCCCAAGGTCGAGACTCCTGTAAGAGTGGCGAGTGGAGCGTCCATAGGCACGATTGGTTCGGGTGGGTTTTCGTTCCCCGTTTCTGCGGCAGACGCCTCGAAGCCACCATCGTTTTCCTTCGCTGCATCCCCCGGCACAGCTGGGGTGGCCAACGCAAGCAATTCTAGCGGGTTTTCGTTTCCCGGCGCAGTGCAAGCGTCAAACCTCAGCTTCCCAAGCAGCACGATTGCATCCGGAACAGGCTTTAGTTTTCCACCTGCCGCGACGTCTGCAACTGGGCCATATTCTGGAGCTGCTGAGGACTTACTTGATTGCTCGTCGGTAGCTGGTGAAGTTGCGGATCCTTTGAACACGACGTCAAAGCCAAAACCTCCTGCTGCTAGCAACAGTAGCTACCCTCCGGACACGACGTCGAAGCCAAAGCCTCCAGTGTTTGGTACTGTTAGTACCAGCAGTTACCCTCCGGACACGGCGTCAAAGCCAAAGCCTCCCGCGTTTGGTACTGTTAGCACGAGCAGTTACCCTCCAGACACGGCGTCGAAGCCAAAGCCTCCAGTGTTTGGTACTGTTAGTACCAGCAGTTACCCTCCGGACACGGCGTCAAAGCCAAAGCCTCCCGCGTTTGGTACTGTTAGCACGAGCAGTTACCCTCCGGACACGGCGTCAAAGCCAAAGCCTCCTGCGTTTGGTTCTGTTAGCACCAGCAGCTACCCTCCAGACACGGCGTCGAAGCCAAAGCCTCCCGCGTTTGGTACTTTTAGCACCAGCAGCTACCCTCCAGACACGGCGTCAAAGCCAAAGCCTCCCGCGTTTGGTACTGCTAGCACCAGCAGCTACCCTCCAGACACGGCGTCAAAGCCAAAGCCTCCTGCGTTTGGTACTGCTAGCACCAGCAGCTACCCTCCAGACACGGCGTCGAAGCCAAAGCCTCCTGCGTTTGGTACTGTTAGCACCAGCAGTTACCCCCCAGACACGGCATCGAAGCCAAAGCCTCCTGCGTTTGGTACTTTTAGCACCAGCAGTTACCCTCCAGACACGGCGTCGAAGCCAAAGCCTCCTGCGTTTGGTAGCGGGACAATGCCTAAGATGAAAACATCTTCGTCTTTGTTTCCCATTGGTACGAAGACGTTTGGGTCGCAGTCGAAGTCGTTCGCACCGATAGACCCATCGGTGCGAGATAGTAACCTGACCAGCGCCGTCGCTCCAGCCGAGTCAAAAAATTGTCGTGAAAGTGCATTTGGAAGTGACGTGGCTACAGGAGCAGCAGCTTGCACGTCTTCGTCACCATTCGGCATTGTACCAAAATCAAGCTCACAGGGGGCGTGTCTATTCGGCTTGGCAAAAGCGAGTGACTCAAACGACGTTTCTGGTAAAAGTAACGCAGCACGGCCGGGCTTATCATTTAGCAGTTGGTCGTCAACGATTGATCCAAGTAAGGACCATGGCGGTCCTGAGGACCAACTTCCGACGAAGCGCACGCTAAATTTTGAAGATTGCCGTGCGCTTGAAGCAAAGACGACTTCCATTTCATTGGCGAAGACGAATGCAAAACCGCTTGTTGACCCCGCCGAGTCATGTATTAGCATTCCTTCGTCACCTATGGAGGGCCAACTGTGGAAGTTGATCGTGAATTTTGATAAGTCTCTTCAGCGATTGAATCAGAGCTCGACGAAAATACCGTCGAACAATACTGAGCTGTCACTGAACTGCATGGCGAAAGTAGACAAGCTACGCCTTCAAATATCCGACTTCTGTATGGCGATCAACGACCTGGACGAGTTACGGGATCAAGTCGAGAAGGATGTCTTGTTCGTTATCGGAAGCGATGGTGACGTACACGAACAGCTTGAGTATGGTCGCGAAATGCTGAACAGTTTCAACGACGAGGCTCTCAAGAGGACCCTGGAAATGCAACCTCTCGACCAGCGATCCCAGCAAACTTGGGAATCGTTGAAGGTTAAATTAGCCAAGGTAAGAAAATGCTGTATCGAACTTGATGGTCATCTATCATCTTCCAAGATCGGTGCCGCCGGATTCGGTGCAGAATCTTCAGCACACTTATTCCGCGTCTTGAAGCAAACGTATGACAAGTCGAAGATGCAGTATAACGAAGTGTTTAAGCTGACTGAACACCTGAAGGAGCTGAAGGTGGGTGGCGACCGCGTGCATCGAATGAATGGTGTGGCTATGACTACTGCTGCCGATAGTGAAGCGCATTCTATAGCAACCAAGGCAGATATGATTCAGATGATCGTGGAGACTGGGGAACGTCGTCAAGATGTACGTCGCAACTTTTTGGTGTTATGCGGCAATGTGGTTACTCCTCGTGATATAGTTTCGACGCCACGGCGAAAGTTAGCCGCTCTTACTCCTTCAAGCTCTTCGGCGTCGCCAATTCTGGTCAAAGCCACTAGCAAGCTGATGCCGAAGACGCGCTTGAGTGTTGCTTCTCCAGTGAGCTCAGCGAAACAGTCGCCGATGTCCGTTTCATTCAAGAACACTCCATTTAAGTCTGGATCGAAGCTGTCGTCACTGGCAGAAGCCATGGTACCGAAAGAGGAGGCTGCTAAGCTTGTACAGACGCCACACTCGACAAGAGCAAGTGTGAGTGTCGGTAAAGCGTCTCAGAGACCGAGCCTCAGGGTCCCGGCTGCTGAGATGAAACCTGTATCGACGACGTCTTCTACAGCACAGTCATCCAATGTGTTTAGCTTTCCGAAGTCTTCGAAGGAAGCTGTGACTTCCGTAGCAACTATTGCCAAGATTGGCGACGGGAAGACTGGATCGAGTTCGTCACCGTCGAGCAACTCTGGAATCAATGTACCGACAGTAAAGGCAAAACTCGGAGCTGAAGCTATACCGACTTCTGCGCTTACTCTTGGTGGAAAAAGTTCTCCAAAGTCTCCTCCTACCTTCAGCTTTGGGAACGCAAAGGGTGGCACACAGCCGCTTTCTACAATCCCCGTTACTGTGGACTACAAGGCTCTACTGGAAAAGTTCTACAAGGTCCACAATCCATCAAAAATCGACGGAGGCATGATGGACAAAGCTCTGATTACGTACAAGGGCAAGGAGAAAGATCTGTTCACTCGGCTCTTTAGCATGTACGTCCCCGGTTCGACGCCTGATGATGTGACCAAGTATTTAGGTGGGGGCCCGGTCCCTCCGAAATCCGAGCACGGGACAACGACTGTAAAAGCTGTCAAGCCAGCAGCTGAGAGCCCGTTTGCCGCATCATCCTCTGCTCAAGCAAGTCCGTTTACATCGACTGCCGCTCAGACGAGTCCGTTTGGGGCTCCTCCTTCGGCCTTCAGTCTCAATCCTGCCGCAAACAACGCGTCCGGGTTTGGTGGCTTTGGATCTACCTCGGCGACCTCTTCTTTAGCAACGCCGACACTCCCAACGTCTAGTTTTGGCAAGCCAGCTGTCGACTACCGTCAGAAGCTGGTGGACTTCTACCAGAAGTACAACCCGAGCAAGCTCAGCAGTGTGGACGCCACGCTGCAGAAGTACAAGGGGAATGAGGAGAAACTCTTCCAGAATTTGGCTACCAAGTACAAGGTGTATGTCTCGAATGTGAGTGGGGTGTCCGTGCCGCCTGCTAGTCCGGCTATGCAGCCTGCCAAGCCCAATGCGGCAGCAAGCCCTTTTGGTAAACCGGGAGCGTTTTCAGCCGCCATCACTTCAAGTGGACCATCGTTTGGGTCTACTAGCTCAGTTGGTTTCGGTGGAGCGCCATCCCCAGTGGCAACTCCGTTTGGCGCAGCACCGACTCCCGCTTCATCTCCGTTTGGAGCTCCCTCCTCGCAAAGCACCGGTGGTTTCGGGTCAGCTGGATTCGGTAGTGGATTTCAATCGACCCCTACTACGACCTCCTCTCCATTTGGAGCAACAACTGCCGGGTTTGGAGCTACGACGGGCGGTGGATTTGGAGCTGTGACGAGTGGCGGACTTGGAGCTACCCCTGGTGGCTCAAATTATCGTGAGAAACTTACAGCCTTCTATCAGCAACACAACCCCGCTAAGCTAAGCTCTGTGGATGCGACGTTGGAGAAGTATAGGGGCCGAGAAGACCACCTCTTTGCGATGCTGGAGCAAAAGTATCTGAAGAAAATCCCGGTGACAGCCCCGGCTACAGGAGGTTTTGGCATCCCTAGTACCTCAGCATTTGGTGGTGGCGGAGCTAGCGGGTTCGGCACGCCATCGAGCTTGGGGGTAGCAAGTCCTGTCCCTGCATTTGGATCAGCTTCCGCATTAGGAGCCGTTGCGCAGCCTGCTTTTGGCGGAACTGCGGGCTTGGGCTTTGGTGGAATGGGGTCGCAAATGAGTGGAGGGTTTGGTTCGGCCGCCCCTGCTGCCGGCACGGGCTTTGGTTCTCAACTCTCTTCGTTCGGTGGAGCTGCGCAGCAGTCTAGTGGTTTCGGTACTGCTGCTAGAGGCAGTAGCGGTTTTGGCTCTGGTTTTGAAAGTAGTGCAGCGACTGGCAGCTTTGGCAAACCTGCTGCGTTCAACAGTGCCAGCTTTACTCAGATGCGGTGAGTGCAGTATAAAGACAGTAGGCATGAAGACCTCTGAAGGTGTTGAGGTTCAGAACAATCAATGGCAGATAACGAGATGCAATTGACACCATGACCTTCAAAGTGTGTGCATGACCTTCAAGGTGCGCGCATGACCTTCAAGGTGCGCGCATGACCTTCAAGGTGCGTGTCATTAGTAACCGGTTTCCACCGATTTTGTGCAGTCGCTGTGAACCAGTCGTTTTTGTCATTCACGAGATAGCGCTTGAATCGTCCACATCATTAATCAAGTAGCTCTGAACCACGCAATGGTCCTTCGCATGCAATAGTTGAGGTTTGCATACGAAATAGCCGGGTGTCGGAGAGGTCTTTGGCTCTCTGTCACCTCGCAGTCCTATTTGCGACAGACTCGGCTTTGCCTCCTCATGCAGCCAGGTCTTACAAGCGACTGCAAGAGTAAATGTTTATACCAGCAGCCCATCCCGTTGAGTTTGCGGCCTTGTTCCTCCCAAAAGGGCCGCGCAATTACGGATGAAACACCTCGTACGACGGCACAATGTTGTGTCCGTGTAGCACATGCAAGAATAGGAGACAGACGCCTTGTGCATTGTATGAAATCACGCAGCAGCTTCAAATCGAGTCTCAGCGTCCAAGCACTAATCGTACGCTCTTCTCTTCTTACACTACGGCACATCCGGTGCCAAAGAGTTAGCGAAGCCGCCTTATTGCAGCGTACTTAATTCGCGAAGCCCCACCACAACTCCCCGGTAACGCTCAGTCCGCAGACACTAAACAGACGCTGCTCTGCAGCTGCTCGTCCACGCCTCCTCTTTTGCTGCTCGGCCTTCTCACGCTTCTTCACACCATTTATTCTCCTCGCGAATCTGTGCCTCTTCCTCGGGCGTGAAGTCATTGACAATGTTGAACGTGTCGCGAATCTCCTGCGGTGTCTTGCCCTTGATCATACTCGCGACTTTGGCACACGCGAGGTCCAGCAGACTCTTAATGTCCATGTAATTAGCGGCCAGAATGAGCTCAAACAGAATCTCTTGCTCAATGTCCACAAAGTTCGCGTCCCAATCCGACACGACATCGTGCATGTCCGCGCTCTTGAGTGGCTGCACCACAAGACACAACAACCCATTTCACAACCACGTGCGTGCGTGCATGCACACAGAGACAGTGTATACTTGTCAGGTATACCCGTGTAGTATACGGCATGTGTCGATACCCTACACCACGCACCTTTTCAATCTCCCGCATGGGATTGTTCTGGTGGTGGTTGCAGAACTCAATCACTTTCGACAGCACGGGGCTCTTGACGTTAGGCAACGGGATCTCCTGCACCTCGTCGTCGTCCGTATCATCTACACAAAAATGGTCGAGTTGTACCCAGTTTACACGTCAATTGAGACGCTGATCAGTCATTGGTCAAAAACCGACATACCGGAGATCAGTGTCTTGACCAGCTCGCTCATGGCGGCCACACCACGAGGGACTTCAAAGCTGTCGCCGTCCATCGAGACGAGGTTGACCTTGCGGCAGTCCTCCTCCTTCGTCTCCTGCGTGGGCGCTGGAACGTCCGACATCAAGTCCCTATTCACTGGTTCAGCTGGTTACTAGAGTTTACGAAAAGCTCTGGCTGGACGCGACTTGACTCGGTTTCGATATGAGGTGGAATGAGATGATTTACGCGTACTTTGTGGAAGTTGTAAGTACGCATGGGACGTGAACAGCACTTGTTCTTCGACAACGCCGGCGTAGGTTGCAAGCTGGTGGGGTCCACACACGAATGCGCAACTGTGGTAAGCGTACTTAGCCACAGCTGCTTGCGGTCTAAATATGCGCTAGTGCGACAAGAACGAAACAACGTCATATTACGTTCGAGAGGTCAAGGCCACTGGGATGATTACCATATCCATCGACCGGCCTTCGAGAGGCTCCAGCGGAATTACACAGGCAAATGGACGCACCCTCTTCATTTCAGTAACCTTTCATTCGTTTGAGTGGATTTCCTGCAGTTCGCATTGATGTGCGATGAGCAATGATGGCCTAGCCTGAAGAGGACCAGGCTGTCAATTTTGCTAGTATGCCGCATTCAGACTCAAAGAAGCTTGATGTGCATAAGCGCATATGTAACATACGAGTAGGTCAAATTCGTGCATTGCATCGGCTCATTTGTCACAACATCGTACATATCAGCGTGAACACCACACAACGACGTCCACAAGCTGTAGCTTAGTGTGCATGGTAGCTTAGTATTCTATGTCGAACGTACGAAGCACGGACGCAATCCTCACATCCGCCTGATCAGGACTGGCGACAAGACACAAACACATGACGAGAAGGAGCGTATACACGCTCTACACGCTTCTTTTTCAGGTGCATATGTATTCACATATCTGTCTACCGATGAATTGATTGATCATAGCGGCTAGACATAACCGGAAACGTCAACGATGTTACACTCATCGTGTGCGCCAAATGCATCATACATTACGAACCCATTTTTACAACAATCGTACATTACGATACAACTGTACCCACGCTTCCAAATATTCGAGTCGGGCGCAGTAGCTTTGTCGTCCGCTCGTAATATACGCGGCCAGCTGCATGCATAACCATAACTGCGCCCATGAGTCCTGGCCAGCTCCGCCCCTTCGGTCCGTTTGTCTCGACATTTGATGAGCGCTGTCAATGTCGTTGGCCAACCTCCTTCTTTCCTGTTCGTGTCACTCGATTGCAGGCAAATTCGAGCGTCTGTCGGCACGCGCCCCATGGGCGATTTTCCCCCGTAAGAAGCTCGATGTGACATACAGCGACATCGCCGCAGGTCTTGCTGCGTGTTTGCAGCTGAGCGAGTCGCAGCGGTCTGAGCTAGAGCTACAGATTTCGCACTTATGGGACCCTCGCGGTCATATATTACTTCCGCTTTCGATTCGGTACGACCGTCTCTCCCGCATGAGATAAAACAGTGTTTCTTTTCTGTTTTTTGGTGCCGTATCGACTGTTCGATTTGGTTCGATTTGGGTCGATTTGGTTCGATTTGGGTTGTGTTGGTCCGATTTGGTTTATTTTGGGTCGATTTGTGCTTTGGTGGGGTTGTAACAGCACGGGCTTCGATCTGCTCTTGCAAACGCTGCGACTTCCAGCTGGAAGTGAAGTGCTATGCAGTGCAATTACAATTCCGGACATGATGCATGTGCTGCGGCACCATAACCTTGTCCCTGTTCCTGTGGACGCGGATTTCGAGACGTTGGCAATGGACGTGGATGTGCTCAAGCGTGCGATTACAAAGGTGGGTTGAAAGTTTATAGAAAGGGAAGGACAGCGATCATGCGTGTTACTGTTATCGTTAGTTGTAGAAGGAGACAACACTCATGCAGTTGTTTATGGATCCTGTGGCGTGAAATTGATGGTGTTGTTGTTGTTTATGCAGAACACGAAAATGCTGTTGGTTGCTCATATTTTCGGCACGCGCTTCCCGTTGGACACAGTGCTTGAAGTTGCGCGTAGTCACAGTCTAGTGGTTGTGGAAGATTGTGCGCAAGCGTTCGTGGGGTCGCAGTACACGGGCGATGACCGTGCAGACGTGTCTATGTTCAGTTTCGGCACAATCAAGACAGCAACGTCGTTTGGTGGCGCCATCATCCGCGTGAAGAATCCTGTCGTGCTGAACGAGATGCGTCGTCGGGAGAGAAGGTGAGGAGACATGTGTGTGCGTGAAGGACGATGACGCATGGAAATTTCAGAACATTGTGTCTGACGATCTTTTGATGCAGATATCCATGCCACACAAACCTTTTTTTCTTCAAGAAATTGGTGAAATACGGCGTATTGCATGGCATCTCCACTCCTGCTTTATACGGTCTATTCCTTCACGCTTGCCGCGCAGCTGGAGGTATGTTAAGCATTGGTCTTGTATCTGGGCTATATGAATTTGTCGAATAGCGTAGTACATTTGTAACTCTACTTGTGATGCATCGAGCTAGCGGATCATGATAAGATCATCACGTCAGCAGTTCGCGGCTTTAGTGGCGGAGAGCTGATGACCCTTATCCAGTACCGTCCGCCAATGGCCTTGCTGGGACTAATGCACCGCCGTCTTATTTGCATGGACGACGAGTATGTTTTACTGAGAAAGTACGTTGTATCTGTAACGATCAATGATCGTGTTATCATGTTGATATCCTGGTCTGACTATATGTGACAACTCAGATCGAAAAGCGAGCAACTGGCTAAAGCTATCACGAACCTCCCTAACGTGTCTGTACGACTGCTGTATCAACGTTCTGATTCGGAAGAGTGTTGCTGGGTCGTTTATGAGCTGTTCATGTTTGATGTTGTAGATTCCTGGTTACAAAGCTGAGAAGCATTTTTACTGGTTGTTTCCTGTTTGTGTTCCGTCCCCTAGAGACGTCGTCAGATACATGAACAAGCATGTGCGTTGGTTACATGGCTTCTGGTTTTGCCAGTACTGACCAGCTTGATTTGCTCAACAGGGATTTGACGTCACTTCTGGTGCAACGCAGCTGGCTTATGTGCCAAGGTATAATTTGGAATCATGGATTGGTCTTGTTCATTTTGGCCTGCTATTAATTTGATCCTGTTTGTAGTCCTCTTGGACAAGATCACGACCCTGTGCACGCGAAGAGAATCATGACCAGGTCAGTTGCCAGTGAATGTGACCGGACTTGCCATACAAGACTGACAGCTTATTGCGACAGTTTGGTGTACCTTCCAGTCACGCCTGAAACACCTGGATGGGCCATTGAGAAGATGGCGTGCTGTCTCCGTGACGCCCTTCATTCGTCTAGTAGACTTTAGGGCCGGAGCTTGATTGACTTCGTAATTTCACGACACGAAAGTCACGTGATCGAGTGTTCCAATCGACACAATTATTTTGCCGCAGGGATGTTAAACTTGCAGGCAATGCAATTGTACGAAGATGGTCCGCGCATCTATCGGCAAAGCCATGGTGGATTGGTAAACATGCAGCGGTTGATCACAGGGACTCCGAAAAGACTGCAAGTCGAAGAGAAGTTTATCATACGATGATTATCGGGATTCCAAGAGCAGTCCGTGAAGTGTCGTCGCGGTATATGCAACGATGCCGCTGCAATCGCGTGCTGTACAAAAGAGTCGCTTCTTTTGAAACAATGTCGTCGAGACTGAATGTTGGCCTGAATATATCTTCCATCCGCGATCAGTGTCAACTCATCTATTCGTGCCTTACTTAACACATCATGTGACAGGTGCATATCACAAACAGGATTGTTTCATACAGTTTCCGAACATCAGCACAAATCTATAGCTTGCATTCTTGTGATCACAAAGTTGAGTGACAAGACCAACATCTAGACCAGACTCGGACGTCATAAGTAGCTGAAGAAGTTCTCGGAATTTCGATTGCTCGATCAGAAGTGTTTTGAGAGCGAATGCAAGCAACTCATTTGAAGCCTCATACGCTGATTGTCTTGACCCTTTACAACAGCAAAAGCTCGGATCAGACCGTCATTGCTCTGTCATCATGACACGTTCATGCTGCAAATATGGCTTTACGTACTATCTTTGAGCTATTCGACCAGAGTCCTGATGATGATAAATGCGTAGGTCATGTCATCACATGCATTCGATGTCTTTGCCCTTGTCTTTTGTATCCGTCCAGTGATCATCGTACTTCGATGTCACGATCCTTGTTTCTGCTGCCGTATCTGCAGCCACGCACCATCACACAGGACGATATGGATGGGAAGTGTTTCTTTACATTTGCCAAGAGATATGCGCATGTCTCGTCACAAACGGATGTCCTACGTTCACAAGATCTTCGTTTGACGTGCTCTTTGCTTCCTGTACTACAAAATCTGCATCAACATACCTGCATCAACACTGGCTGGAAGTGAGCAACATACTGACCCGATATCATGGCGTGTAGTACGAATTACTCGGGAACGCAGGAAGCCTTACCCCAGACTTCAACAATAGTTGGGTATACTGGTCGATGACGCAAACGTTGCTGCAAATGACTCAGCTGCAGCGCTACGATCTGTCGAAATCAAATACCCAATCTTTCTGGTGTTTTTAAACAACAAAGGCATGCATATCCTTCGCATTAAACACACTTGAAAGTGTGATGCGTCTTAGATCGATCGGCAGCGTGACTCGTGACAGCACTGGCACTAGCAAAATGGTGAACGTCAAATCTAGACTACGGAAGTTGCATCAACATCGAACAGGTTAGCGTCGACGTCGAGGCTGGTAGGGAAGAGAATGACTGTCTAGAAATGGCACATAAGCAGGAGAGACTTTTTGTAAACGCAGATATGCTCGGCGTACTATCACTTTGAATACTGCATGTTGGCTAGACTTATTCGAGACGAACACTAAACGAACTTGCCGATAGTATTATACTGTTGTAACACTAGCTCAATATGTAGCAACAGCACTAGCTAGCAGCTCCTGTGGCTGAAGACGTATGGTTGCCCGGGAACCAGAGAACGAGTTGGTATCCATTGGAAGGGTACGTAAAACAGATAGTCGCTGAAGAGATCACACGCAGAGATCTCTTGCAAACCGCTCAGTACGATCTCCACGTATTGTATTGACCCTTTCTTGCAGCAGCAGCAGCTACGTCCCACAAGCTTCACATGTTTTTGTCGTCCAAATCGCGGAACAGCATGTGTGCCACTTTCCACGGATCTTGTAATCAAAGAGAGGCCTCACTCCAATTAGTTGCGGGAAAGTCCCAAGCGCAGTTGTCGAATCTCGAATTTGTGTGCACATCAGACATCGTGGATAGTGCGATGCGAAGTATCACAGCACGCACATTGGGCACAGTATCAATTTATAGTAGAGCACCGTGAATACGTATGAAATGCTTCGAGACGGGGAACAGAGGGGTGTTTAGTTGACAGGAAATCTGGTATCGAAACGGTCAAGGGATTCTGCAATATACTTGTGTCACGACCTCTTGAGTGGCGACCCCGCATCAGAATTCTGTCCCGATCTGACATTTCGGCCGGTGCGCAATTCGCAGTATCTCGGACATTTGGTTGTTTAGTGTTCGTGTTCACGCTGAGCTGTTGAAAAGAATAAATCGCAAATCCCGGTAAGCCGGCGACATTTTTGTTCATGCGAAAATTTTGATCCGATATCGTATTCTAGAGTGCATTCGGTTGCCATTCTCGAGACGAGAATGGTAGCGTCGTCGAGGATATGACGGTTGAGGGAAATTTAGTCGAGTAGCTCTTGTTGAATCGATATCGTCGTGCCATATTTACGATTCCGGTTTAGATACATGCGTCTGCCTGGGACGTTTTATTAGCCACAGTGTTTCGATGTCTAATGCATTGCCAGATGGCATAGCGCATCAGGGGACAAAGTTTAATTGCAATCATAGCATGTAACATGTTAGTTCAGGAAATACTCCGTATATCCTAAAAGCTGAATGCGGAAACTAAATACGCAAGGTGATGTGTGCTAGTATCGCACGCGAATCACCATCAAGGGATGACCGCTAGAGTTTGGCATAAATGTTGGGGAGATCTGTGCTCCAGTATCGAAGATGGCCGATGAAATTGATTTGGCTACTGGCTCAATTCCTGGTCTCTTTTGTCTCCCAACACATTTTGTAGCAGAATTTCTCAATAAAACTCTCAATGATGTGGAGATCAGACATAAGTCAGCCAGGTTAATTTCATAATGGCTCTGACCGAGTTGCTGCAACGACTCTACGGCTTGAGGCAAGCACCACTAATTTGATACTATAATTTGGACGAATACCTCCGAAACGAGGTTCAAGCGTACGAAGAAAATGGACGCAGTTGTGTATGTACGAACAGTAGGAGATGCTTATGGGTACTCGACCGTATACGTAGACGACAGCTTAATCGCTGGAGCTGAATCGGATATAATGATGGTTCTAGTGGATCTTCGGAGCAAGTCCAAGATTAGGGGATAATTACTAGGAATGGAGATCGCGTACATGGAAGGTAGCATGACGTCAACTTCTCAGCAAAGCTATACCAAGAAGATACTGGCGCGTTTAAATTATTTGAAGTGAAAGTCTGTTGTTGCGCGACCAGTGTAGGGTAAGTTCCCGGTGCCTGGGAATCCGGACGTGAAATGAAATTGTGTAAATCCGGATCCAAATGTGAAAAATGGTTTAATTGTTGGCTCGTTGCAACACCAAGCTCATTGCACGCGTCCATTTATTTTTCCAATGCTGATACGGACCTGGAGGATAAACGAGACGGTTGACGGTCCGTTACCGGATTTGCACTGCTAATGGATGGCTACTTACGATTGTACAATGCACGATCACTGGATGATCGATTTTGATACGATTTGTTCAAGGTTCTTGGCTGCAACTGAATGTAGAGGATGATAAATGGACGCTTAATATGTGAGAATCTGGAGTTCACCGTAGAACGATTCCATACGAAGACAATGCAAGCGATAATCAGATGATTGAAACAAGCGCGGGCAACTACAGATTAAACAGTGCAGATCTAAAGTACCACAAGATGCGAGATTACGTGAAGAAGGGCGGTTTGCTTTTATACACTGTTCTCCCTTATGTATGCTAGCAGACACATTTGCCAAATCTTGGCCCTACGCAGTTCAAGAGGGTAAGACAGCTGTTACATGTTTACTAGTGCCTCATCCGTTGCATAATCACAACACAAGACATCCGAGACATCGAAGTGGGCGTGACAAAGTAGGAGATGTTGTGTCCCTGATCCTAGTGTGATCAACATGAAGCTGTGGCACGTCGTGACGGATGGTACGTTACAGTTGCGGTGAATGGGCGTTGACGTATAACATATTGTCATAAAATGAACCGAAGGGAAGGTCACCTCCGAGGTGTTTCCTCCCTCTCTACCAATTTGCTCTGTACGGATCAGACGTTCCGTTTGTTTCCATTACTGAACACTCACTCAGCTTCGCATCAGTAATTGTGACAAAAAGACTAGATGAGCTAGAAACGTGTACGTGCAAGACAGATCAAGCGATCGCAAGGCCGATAGCAGCCGTGTTGAATCTCCTAGTATCTTAAGGCAATATCGCAACATTAGTAAGTTACACGATCGCGACAGTCCCAGATTGTCCTACGAAGATTTTTGTGTGGCGGCCAAGACTTCCTTACTTGATTCTAAAGCCGAGTGCACATTTTCTTAGGACAGTGCGAACAGCTCTAGACAGCTCAACTAAGTGGTATACAAGGTACTAATTAGCACATAATTAAAGTGTCAACTGCACGGTTACCATTTATCTATTTCGTGAAGTCGACGACGTATGAGCAATGTAGAATGCTGTAAGTCGCGCGATTATTTTTACGAAGCGATACTCTACACAATGGAGTGCTTTATTTTTCATAAACAGGAGTGCAGACTGTAGTTGTGACATAAGCTATAGATAAGATGACGTAATACACACGCAACGAGAAGTTTGGTCAAGTTCCGGTGTCCGACGCGATTCTTTCGCACGTGCTTGTGGAACTGCTCGTCGACTTCAAGCGATTGTGGGACTTCAGCTTGTTCAATAGAATCATGGACTCGACCTACGGATTGACTGGAAATGTTGCAGCACAAACACACCAGCTAATATTGGAGACGTATTAAATGTAGCTATCACTTGCGAAACGTCGCGTTGACTTCCTCTCGGCTGTTAAATAAAAGCTGTGGCTTGTCATTATTTCCTTATAGATGAGTCGACGTGGTCGACTGCTTGACATCAATATGTAGTAGCTGCAGATATGTTTGAGATCCCCCACAAAGCATTCGCTGTTGGAAAAGAGGTGCAAGAAGTACATGGAAGAGTTCGCTTCAGCCTTGAAAACTGACCCAACCTCGTGCTTGTGCTTCTTGCAGCAACATCCTATCACCTTGTCATCTGCATGCACATAACACTGCGGAATCGCTAAGCCAGTAGGCGTGATGACCGTGGATTCCCACGTCGAACATTTTGCGCAAACTAGTACTCTTTGTTAGACACAGATACAACTAAATAGCGGATCGTTTGCTTGTGAACACTCGTTTCATCCTCACTCAACGACACTTGCTGTCTTTACCTCCATAATTGAAGTCTGAAAGTTACAGTCCTCGGTAGGCGTTGTACCATGGATTCGCACGGAAGTCAACGGCTTCAAAATGTTGCGCTACGTACGACATGATTGGTCGTTAGTCGACAACTCTCGTCTCTCGAATGTACACAACATTGTTGATTGCTGTATTTTTACAATGGAGAAGCGCTTGTACGCGTGGGGCTCAGGTACACCATCCCTATAACATGTAGTTGTTCGCTATTGCAATATCGGTTTTACATGGCGCCATGTATGAACAGGAGGCACTGGACAGCTCGGATTAGGAACGAAGGACGACCACACGCTTCCTCAACGTTGGACTCATAGCGACCAAGTGGTCGTGGAAGTCGAGTCCGTCACGTCCGGCGGTTGTCACAGTGCAGGTTGGTAGTCGATAGAGCTCTGGGCATTGGCACTGCATTGAACCAATTCATTGGTATTTCCAGGAATCAGCAGCGATGGCCGACTTTTCCTCTGGGGGTCAGACGATCGAGGGCAACTCGGACGCACGGCATTGGAGCCAGGGCGAACTTTCGTGGATGTACCCATCCAGCACGTAGCTTGCATTCCACGCAACAGCGTACAGGTGGTAACGGCATGCTGGTGGTCATTCCAATGACAGGGTCTCCATTACTGACGATACGGCTTCCTTGTTGGTGTCAGAAAACAAAGCTAGTAGCTTGCGGCTGGTGGAACACGCTTGCAGTCATCTCGTCGAACGCCGACGACGACGACAGCCAGACGGATCAGGTGTTTTCGTGGGGATCAAACGATCATTGCCAATTGGGCCGCAAGCGAAACGCGGGCGGTTGCAAAGCAGCACAGATTCGACACTTGTCTCTGCGCTTGCAAGTTTCGAGTATAGCGTGTGGCTGGAAGCACTGTCTTCTTGCGACGGCTGAAGGCGATGCATTTGCGTGGGGAAGCGGGCGGCATGGTCAGCTTGGACTCGGAACTTGCACTCTGGTGACGGATATCCCCCTGCGTGTTGATGCGTTGAAGAGCGTGAGTGTCTCCGACGTCTTTTGTGGGTGGGAACACTCCGTCTTCAGAACCTCCAGTGGTGAGGTGTTTACGTGCGGCAACAATCGGCACGGGCAATTAGGTGTGTGCGAGACCTTGACATCTATCTCTTCCGAAACCCCCTGTGAGAAACAAAAGCACATCTGCGGATCGCCCTTGCGTGTGCTAGACCCGCACAATAGCGTCGAAGGTCTCCGCACGATTCATGTTAGCTGCGGTTGGCACTTTGTCATGTGCCTCACAGAACGTGGAGAACTGTTGACGTGGGGCAAAGGTAGTCACGGACAATTGGGTCTTGGACGGTTTGAAAGCGCTAGTGAGCCGCAGGTTGTGGTATTTCCACATACTGTTCGACAAATCGCATGCGGGAGCGAGCACGCCATGGTTGTCACAGAAGAAGGAGATCTGTACACCTGCGGCTGGGGCGAGCACGGCAATCTTGGTACGTCAAAATCCCTTAGTTTAACTAGCAAGACCCACCACCAGTACTAACCTGTTTTGGTAGGTCACGGCGACAGGAACAATCATGCGACGTTGAAAATGGTCGAGTTTTTCCAACACACGGATCAAGCAGTTACTCGTGCTGTTGCCGGTGGGGCAGTCTCTCTTGCTGTCACAAGCGCGCACAAACACAAGTAAAGCACACGTTCGTTGCAAAACGTCCACCAACAGACCTGCTCCATTTGTCATAACGACGAACCGGATCACAGCCTTCTCATCATGAGCTTGACCTGCTCCTTCTTCATTTCTAGCATGCGCACTTGATGTGCCGCTTCCTCCGTCGTACCAGCTCCTTCCCCGCTACGAATCTCCTTCTGCAGTCGCTCCTGTTGCCCTCGCAGCTGCACGAGCTGCTGCTCCAGCTCTTCCTTAGTCAAAGACCGACGTGCAGTCGTCAGCTTGGATATTCCCGGTACAAAGAATGACGGCGTCGGCATCCCACGGGACAACGACGTCCCCATTGACAGCTCCGTCTCCTGCTTCACAGCACCCGGTACAGTGTACATAGAAGGCGCCGTTGAAGCCGCCTCCGTATCAACAACAACCTCCTCCGCCCTGTCTTCACACTCGTTTTCGTCGTCGTGAACGCCCCACGTCTCATCCAGCTTTTTCTTGACCTTGTCCAGTAGAAACGACTCGTCTCGCTCTGCAGTAAACGTGTAGACTCCGTTGCCCAGGACCAGCGCAAAGACGATCCAGTAGAGACGCATGGGCAGCGACACCGACTGGTGCGAACGGTCGCCCCAGTCGGAGCCAACGAGGCGCACAAGGGTCGAGTCCAACTCGGCCTCGTGCTTTGTCGCGCCGTACCCCTTGGTTACACGGACGGTACCCGGAGTCAACGACTGTGGAGAGACGTGCACGGTCGTGTGTGCTGGGCGAAGAGAGGACCTGGAGCTCGTCGTTGTGGACTTGACGCTGGAGCTCCATCGACGACGCAGGAGTGGACGGTACATGGTCGTCCTCCACTAGCGAATTAAGCAGAAGTGGTTGGTACGAGGTTCGAGGTTCGATAGCAAAAGCGTAAGCGCTGTCTCGTGATATTGTAGGCGATAGGTACGCATTGCACGCACTGTGTGGATGGCTTAAAGCGAAAGTTCAAAATGTGGTGGTCTTTAACTTGATTTTGTCGTGTGTTTGTTTCGGCGAGATCCGCTATGTTAATATCTTTGGGGGTTAAGTCAGGCCTCATTAGTTTACGGATTTTTGTAAATCAAATAAACTAAGCTAGTTTAGGAACATGACTAAAGCTTAGTTTATGGATTTTTCACTCACGCACGGTCCAGGTCCTCCAGAATGGCGCGCTGTTTCGCCTGGAAGACACCTTCCAACGAAGATACACCAAGCAGGTACGGATTTCATCCATTTCCCGTTTGAGGATGGAGAAGTCCGACTCGACAGACGTCGTGTTGATGAAGGCGGTGGCCAGTCCCCCGAGGAAGGCGCGAAGGCGCTCGACACGCGATCGCCGAGGCACCGCGTCCCATGTGTCGTTGGACGTAGTCTTCGCGTCGTGCTTGTCCAGAGCGGCGCGCAGCACATCACCCTCTTTGTACATCTTGTGCAAATACCAATGACCCTTCTCGACATGGTCGATGTAACGGGGACCCTTTGTGTGGGTGCCACGAAACGTCACGTACACTCCTACATGCAGAGGAAGCTAATCTACTTAAACTGCAACTTTGAGTAAAGGTATAACGAGAACTGTATTAAATGTAGTTAAGCTAGCAATATAACTTCAGTCTTTATCTAACTATATTAATCTACATTGTCGTATGACGACAACCTGCTCACCACTCATTACGTGCGTCTAGCAGAGATTGGTGTGATCTTGGTTGATAAGTCTTTATCAACCAATCTTTAAGCAGCGCATGACTGTTATCCTAAAGGGATAATATTCCTCATTCAGTTTTACCTGTATTGATTAATATTGACAGGAGATTGTCACGCTAGACTACCTTACTTATTCGAACCGTTTGGTGTCACAATGAAATGGGCTACCTCGTTAAAGTCAATGCATTCCTCGGAATTAGATGATGAATGCGTTACGGGTCGAGCACGCGCTGAATGAAGTCGCCGTGTTGCAGCTTGACGTTCTGAGCATGCAGAACAGGCGGGGCGCCTAAATGGAGCGGCGCATTATATTCGTCGCGCCCAGCACGGACGTTGCCGAGCCCGGTGACGACGAACATTGGCGAGCTGATTGATAACCTCCTTTTGGGCGGGAGCGTCCAGACTCTCGTAACATGACTTGGTAACGAGCCCTGGCCCTTGACGTAGCAGACGAGTCTAGCCCGCTCGATACGCCACTGCTCTAACGTCTCGAACTTGTCGTTGTTGTTGTCGGCGTCTTCATCGTCGTCGTGGAAGATGCCGAACATCACGAACAGACTGGCGACGAGCGTCTGGATGAGAGATTCTTGCTGCGTGATCAGCAGAGAGCTGCTCTACGACATGACGAATGTCTTGATGATGTCCTCAAGGGCGGGCGCTATCGCGTAAGCGATGACCCAAGATTGAGACTACGGCAGCGTGTCGCTAGCATTGGCCGTCACGTGCTCAATGATTATGCGGCGGTTTTGCTTGATAAAGTTAAGTAGCACGCCAAGGCTAACCCACCAGTTGGTCTTCTTGGGGTATTGTACGTTCATGCACTAGATCATATTCGCCTGCGAGCGCAGATAGACCGGCACCGACCACGCCTGCTTGGACCACTCCTCTTCATAAAGCATTTTGGCGCCGTCTTTGACGACGACGTCCATCTATTGAGTTGGGCACCAGATGCGCAAGATGTGGTGCTCGGCCTCGCGGGCCATGCGCGTCTCTAGGTCGTTGAGTTACCCGACCGTAGTCGGCTCGCCGTCAGTGCCAACGTTGATCAGCTTGCAGTGCCAGAGGCCGTACAGTGCCTCTGGCACTGCAAGCTGATCAACTCCAGCATACTGAAAGTGTTGAGCGCCGTGTGGAGTCCAAACTGAGGGGGCGGCCACGAGGTGAAAATTTAGCAGGACGTCGCGGTAGCACACGCGCAGGTCAAAGATATGCTGGCCGCGGTGGGTACTGCTGTCGCCAGCAAATGACAGCATCCAGATCGACTCGTCGACGCACAGGTCTACAATGTGCTGCAGGGCGAACGCGACGACAGCGCGTACGTACTGGTCGACGATGGTACCATTCATGCTGCCCAGATTGGACAGGCCGCAGCGCTTCTTGTTGTTCCGCATCGCGGACGCCACCTGTCGGAACGACATTCTTGACGAGACATGATACATGGCAAACTAGTATCGCATCGTGCCCTTGATAGTGACGACATAGTTTCCACGTTCTCCTTGTCTTTGACGAACAGCTTCAGCGCCAGCTTCTTCTGCTTGGACTTTGCAGCAGCCTTCTTAGCAATCGCAGTGGCCGCGCCGCCATCGCCCTCGTCCCCGTCGTCGTCAAAGTCGGCAAGTACCTCGTTGGGGCGGAAGAATAGGTCGGTGATGATGACGTCAACGATGGGCGCCAATACGCGAAACGTGAGCGAGTCCGAAGCGAAGTCAAAGTGATGGTGCAGACTGTTGATGTGATTCGCCTTGCCATCGAAATACACGCTCTTTTTCTCTTCGGACAAGGCGCTGTACTCGGCCCATAGATCCGCGTGATGCGAGTCATGGTGACGGCGGTATCGCTGCGGCGCGAAAGGCGTCCAGCACTTGGTGCCGTTGCGAAAGCTAAGCTGGCACTTTTCGCCTGCGTGCTCGTCACCAACCTTGACTTTAGTTCGGCCGAAGAAGGCGCAAAAGCTTTAGCACACCGAAGTGACGTGTTTGTTGGCTTCCTCGGCGACTACCAGTCTGAATTCCAGGTAATGTACAGACTGAAAGGGCGTATACTACTTCTCCGACATACTAGCGACTCAACGACGACGTGAATTGCGCCAGTGCAGGTACCGGTGGTGCAGGCCGGTTTGCAATCCGAATTACACGAAAATGCGGAATATTGCACGATTCTAGCCACTTAATTTGTGTATAAACCTAACCTTTAATTTATGGTTATCCGTAATGGGTTTGACAAATCCGTAATATAAGAATTCTGGGCTAAGTCAAGTAGGGACCTGTACCTAAGGCTACGATCCGGACTGGACCCCCCCCAAGGAAAATTCCCGGGGAGTGACCGGCGGGTCCCCAGGAGGTTCACATATGTATTTGTAGATACATGGGTATGCATTTTTAGATCGTTTCCAACTCTGCTTATAGCCTCTCTACATTTCAACCCTCAGCAGCTTCTTGTATCAGTCCTTCGTATACATCAGTATCTCAATGATTTGCCCGTTAATGTATGCCCTTTCATCCCTGCAAATCAACCCATTAATCGAGAAAGCACGCTTGGAAGTGACACTGGTAGCAGGAATTGCCAAAAGGGCCCTCGCCAACTTGCCTAAGCTAGAAATATGTACCTGTCTACTGTGCCAACATCCCAAAGGATTCACATCCCTATCGGCCAGGTCTTCCCCCAAGTGCTTCAAAATTTCCCCATCCACGTCAATCATCTTCTGCCTCCATGGATTGATGAAATATTTAAGATCATCGAACTCTTTACCTGTTTCTTCAGTAGACATGAGAACGGCTGCATGATTGCTTTAGCGGCTTGTAGCAACAGTAAAGCTCTCAATAATCATGCGAGTATGGATGCCATACTGAGCAAAATGTTCTGCATGCTTACTATGGAAAATTCATCTCGGTGCTGGGATCGTGAATATTGACGTGCAGGTAAATAAGCTTCTTGAGAGCCGCCTTGAAATATTTTTTGAGTCGAAGAAAAATAGCTCTAGCTGGCTGTAGATGTCGTAGGTCTGCCCCACGTGCTTTAACACGAATGTTGATTTCTGGGATTCTCTATCTTAAAAATATAGCTTCGCACCTTTTGCAATCGAACTATGAGGTCAAAAAAGATAGGGAGATATTTCTCAATCGTTGTTAAACATGAACCCGCGAGCCTTTCGGTGGCCGTGTTCAGAGGCTGAAAATTATATATGAGCTGACCAAGATTTCCCATCTCTCGTTTAGAACGTCAAATTCCTGACAATTGACATCGCTAAGGCCGAATCCAGTCACGGTAGGGCTGTCGGACCGAAAAGAACACAGTTCTACCAATGAGTAAAAAAACACTCTTAACGTGCAAAATGTAAGTACATAAAGCGCGATCACATCAGTTAAGTTAAACTCTACCGCGTTTTGACATCAAAATTAATAAGTTAATAATATAACCTTGTTGATATCACTTCACAGCTTGGGCAAAACGTAGGCGACGTAGATTAGCTCTACAACATTTTGAGCAGAGCGATCACCTCAAAACAAGGTTGTTAAACTTGAAAGGAAAACCAGTTGTAAATTCCACAGTACCCATGCAAATGAGAAAATGCACTTACCTATCACAGCAGGAACTCCCAGTAACAGTTCTTAATATTTTACAATCAGTGTCAATCCAATGAGCAGTGAGCTCCTTTGAAGATTTTACGTTGGGTTAAGTCCAAGCATCGGAAGCAAAAGTGATCCATTCGACATTGGAAAGACTGATCTGGAAGAATTCGCGGTGCTAAGTATACATTTGGAAATGATGGTTTTGGACGGCGTCGGTCTTGACCATCATCGGGGGACATGTTTCGTTACAGGCGCCCGAAGGTTGATAAAAGAGCTTCGTTTGATGATGTAAAACGACAGGTTGGCGTCAGCAATGACGCATCAGATGTGAGTTTTGAGGTCCTGTCCGGTCAAAACATTCTACAGCATGGATTTTAATTCAGTCTTTTGCAAATGCAAGCCACATGTGCTTCTCAAGCTCACCTTATCGAGAGTTCCCATTTAGATATATCCCTGAATAGACGCATTCTTCTCTTCCTTCTTTTTCGGATTGCTGAGATTTTGGAACTATTTAAGGTGCTCTTTTAGAATTTCGGTGCTGCCGGACTTGTCAAGGTTAAAAGAGCAACCACATGTATGACCCGTCCTTCGGTTTGTGACAATTTGGCAAAAAATGGCGCTAGCATCGGACTCAAAAGGAACCCGAACCCGGATACGTTTGTCACTTTGGGTGGTGGATGGCGCAAGGGCATCGTTAAGTACGTCGGCATGGGTTTCAAAGATTGTTAATTGCAACAGGTGGAGGCGAAGAGAGCAAAGCGAGTTTTTTGTCGCTGTAAGCCAGTATTTCTTTTTATTTACTAGCGCGTTTCTACGTCACAAGTCGACAGTAACATTAGTGACAGTGGCACAATAGATTCAAATGAGGTGCGTCATTTTACTATTTTTGGACAGTTTAACAAGTAATACAGAGCACGTGTTGCATATGAACCCCAAAACAGTCCACGGGCCGATGGGGTGGGTGTCCCTTTACGGGTGGGGTCTAGGGGTTGCCACCCCCTCCCGGGTAGTACCACTATCTGTACCAGACCATATTAACAAGTTCTGAGATACTACGGTGACTAAACTCATGACAAATAGAAGGTCAGATGTCGATGTTATATTTGCTTGAATTGAGTCAGATAGCACGAAAAGGCGATCGGAGTGATTGGCCGGTGACTTAGGGGTTTGTATGGAACCCTATTAAGAAATGTCGCTGTGTGCGACAAGTGGGCGCAGAATGACAATCATTATAGCAACTTCATCCAGGTAGAGTCAGAGTGTGCTCGCGATAAATGACTAGAGGAAAGATATTTGACAAGCAGAGCAGAAGGAGAGCGAAATGGTGAGAAGCAATGCATAGATTATCGTCTTCCTACTGCAACAAGCATAATTGCCAACAGATTTATCGTTCAAAGAAAATAGCAATTGAAGCGACCTCCAAGACAGCACGATGTGTCGCGCGAGCTGGGCCAGTGAGTGGCTCACCAGCGCGTGACCCTCGTCGGTGAGCACGCAGGCAGTCGTCAAAAGGCCGCCCGCTCGCGAAAGGGCAATGCGACTGATGACAAGATCCTCGTAGCTCTCGCCGTATTGACCGACCCCCTGTTGAAGCTCAAGTCTTTGCATCGCGTCCGGGCCGAAGACGAGAGGATGCTTGGATCTGTCGAGAGCAGCATGTTTGCGTCCAAACTTGGAGAAATAGGTGTGAAATTTCCATAACCATCACGATCTTAGGCCGTAGAAGGAGAAACCAGCAGCACCAAGCGCGCTCGCTGGCCAGATGATGCAAATCGAGGTTCGCCTCACTCGTGCATCCGCCATATCAGTATTCCACGCCGGCACGAGAATCTGATCCTATGGCCGCGCCGCGTCAAGAAGCGCCGCCAGCAGCAATATACAACTACGTAATGCCGACTAATAGTCAACACAACTTCAGCTTTCGCAAGTTTGCTGGGACGGAGCTCTACTAAGGGCTTAGAAGCGGGTTGTTTGACTGTGGACATACCTTCATGCGCACCTAATGCTTTGCTAGGGCGTCGCGCGGTTTTTTTATTTGGACGGGGGACGTATAATTGACCTCTTCGGCCACCCCAGCGTTCCAAACAGGTCGACACTTGGTGGGTGCAGCAGCCGAGACTCGAGGACGTCATGGAGCGGATGCACCTGACCTTTAAGAAGACGATAACGAAGAGCCAGGCCACGAAGATGCTCGTGACAAAATAGGCGCGACCTACCTGAGCTAAGCATTATCTCTACATGGTGGCTGTCAGCGACGCGCGCGGTGGTGCCGACTCGCTTGCATTCGACAACATCGTGCATCAAGCGTCGCCAGATCTGATAAATATGATGCGGGCGTAGTACGACGGTCCGACTACCTGCGACAATGAGGAGTTGGCGCACTTTGCGCAGTCGATAGAGCTAGGCAGAGGCGCGATCGGTCGCAAGAGGTAGTTGCGGCACATTTCGAGACGACGCGCCAATGCAAGCTCCCGTGGTTTTGCTGCGGCAGAACGGGGCACGTCATGTCCTTCTGCAATGAAAGGGTCGTGTTTGACGACGAGAATAGCAACACGAGCGACGAAATGGTGTATTCAATTAAAGAGAAAGCTTTAGCGGCTCGCAAGAAAGAAGCCAAAAGAAAAGAAGAATATGATGGCCTCGCGAGACAAAGTGCCTCGTGCGAGGAACGCGATTAACAAAGCGCGCTGCAACTTACGCGGACGACTTCTTGCTAGCAGCAAACGATGCGATAAGTATCGCTTGAGGCGAATGAAGACTAGGCAGAGGTGCGATCAGGCACGTCATTAACGACCATTTGCTGCTGATGACTTAACTGCCTGCGTCCACGAGATCTCCATGGCAGATGTCGAGTTGCTGCAGCTGACGCATGTCGGGAGTGTGCGCCATAAGGTTCTCGTGCGCGGTAAGAAGAAAAGGGTGATGCTGACCGAATTATATCGTGCCCTGCGTCCGGTTACGGGAAGCTGAAGAGCAAACTTTTTTTTCGTGTACAACGGCGACAAACGCGCGCTAGCGCGGCGCAGCGACAGTACAGTAGCGTTCGACGTCGCAATCCACAGCAACGTGTTTCAAGTTGAGACGACAGCGACACGAGGGACGTACAGTGCTAGAGATGCAATCATGGCTGCGCTCATTACGCGTGCGATAGATGCTGATGCAGACGGCTCGCACGAGGCCTCACAGCTGCGCTGGCACTAGCGACTCATCCATATCGGGTTCGACATGATCAAGTACATGGCGCGCAATCCGGCGTCGGGCATCCTTCTGATCAGCAAGAGCGCATGTCGTGCGTGTCGTGCATTCAAGAAATGTAGAAGCGCACTGCGCAGTTGCAGCAAGACAGCGGCACCAATTTGCCGATCGATAGAATTGGCGGATTCATCCGCTCGGAGCTTAAGGGCACCATGACGTTGCAAGATCGCCTTGGAAATCGATATCTGGTCAATTTTATCGACCAAAATCAAACGAATGCCGCCTGTTCCTTGTGCGCTCGACGAACGCGGCGGCAAAGCAATTCGAGGCGTTTCTCGTTCACTCTATGAAGCTATTCGGCTTAAGGTAAATCTTCGACTTGTACTGCAAGATAACGGGTTACGCGTGCAAGAGCGTCCTACGATCGCAAACAGGCGTCGAAGGGCAAGGCGGAGAAAGATGCACCAGAAGGTGCTAAATGTCGTGAGTAGCATGATGATCGCGTGTGTGCTGAAGTTACAGTTCTGGGGCGACGCGGTGAAGTACGCCATCTAATCCTTATGTTGCAATTCGACGCGAGCATACGCAAAGAGATCGTCACGTATCGAGGTTCTGACGGGCAAGGCGTCGGATTTACGCAGCATAGCGTTTTTGGATCTTCGTGTAGCGTCTACCGCGACCCGCGCAAGAGCTCAATGCAGTTATGATTGCAGACAGGCATCATCATCGGCGTAATAGAGGAGACGAAAGGGTGCAAGATCCTACTCTAACGAGAGAAAACGGTGGTCGATACACAATAGGTGAAGAACATCTCCATGCAGTACGATGCGCAAAATGGGCAACAGCAGCGCGTGATGAAAGCTTGCGATCGAGACGACTTAGGGGAAGAGACAGCGCCAGCGGCAGGGGAATTGGTGACCCGTGACGACGATGGAGGAGTGCATGATGGTTTCGGTGATTTAGAGAAGAGCAAGAAGCTGTGAGCGTGACAAGCGCACGGGACGCAAGACGTATCAAAGCGCTAGCAAGCAGATGCAAGACAGAGGAGCAATCTGCGATCGACGAGGTGGTCAGCGCATCTTTCGAGCGCGATACATGCAACTATGGCGAGGCAATGCGTAGGACGAAGTGCGCAAAAAAGATGACGGTGATGCAAAGGATATAGCCGCGCTCGAAAGCAACAAATATCTCATCGTTTATCTCCATGTGTATGGTGCGTTACAAAGCGCAGCCCGAGCGCAAATGATCTTTATTACCAGTGACCTTAAAGACCAAAAAGGGAGTCGATGGGAGAGCTCCAGAGATACAAGGCGATTTTTCTCGCATGCGTCAATTATCATAGCACTTAGTCATGTGCTCGGCGTGGATCGAAAATTGACCTTTTCGCCGTGATGGACATCTCGACGATTTTTTTGGCGCTTGCAGAAACGTGGGGCCTGCTGTTCAAACACGTAGACCACCTGAACGAATACGTGTGTTCCAAGAAAAAGCACACCTTGACCTCTGCCTTCAGGTGCCACGCGATATGACCGTGTCGGAGAGCACTCTGCACAAGATCGGCGCTAGAATCTAGGCGAGGTCGTCTTGGAGCTGCGGAGGAGCCTGTACGGGCTATAGCAAGCCTGGTGACTCTCGAGTCAGTTGGTCCATACGCGACTCAACTATGCGAGGTACGTGCGCTGCGTGTCAGACATTTGTCTGTACCACAAGAGCGACGACAACGAGCTGGTCTTTGTCGGTGTCTACGTTGACGATCTAATGGCGATGGGATTGAGCGTCGCGGCGGTCAAAGGCTTCTTTGCGAGCCTATTGTCACCGCCGGTCAAGGATCTCGGTCACATCCACGAGTTTCTGATAGTGCGCGTCGAGCTTGGAAGTGACGGAACGTACTGCATCTATAAATAGAAGGCATTTAAAAAACTCCTGAGTGCTCATGGGATGCACGATGTGAACCCCAACAAGACAGCAATTAGGGAAATTTGCTACGAAGTGATAGACGACTACGTGATGCTGGAAACTACGAGCGAAGGCAGTAGTGCGAAGATCAAAACGTGTCATTCGCTCATCGGGGCCATCTTTTAGTCGCGCGGTTCTCGAAGCCGGACATTGACTTTGCAGTGCACAAAGCGAATGGGCAGACGCATGCGCAGCGGATGCTCTACTGGGAGCTCGTGAAGCTTGTCGTGCGGTACCAAAAAAGCACAGCGAAGCGCTGCATCTTATAGCCTGTAGTGACGCCGACTTTGCAGCTGACAAATTGGACCGGAAGTCTATAAAAGTAGATGTCATGACCCTTAAAAGAATGGCGATATCGTGAACCGCAGAGAAACGAGGCAGTGTGAGCCTATAGAAGATGAAGGCCGAGTACTTATTGGCGTTGGAGGTAGAGCGTAACCTCATCGGATTAAATGGGAAGCTCGGAGAGAATTAATAGCCCCGGTTGTCTTTATGCTGATGCACGTGGACAACCTGGCAGCAATCAGCCAGATCGAAGGCGACGCTTCATAGATCAAGTCCAAGCATGTTGACGTGCGGAAAAAGCATCTGCACGACCTCGCTCTATCAACAACGTGACGGCGCATCACGTTTGATCCGAGCTGACGATTGCGGACATGATGACGAAGGCACTCTGCGCAATAAAGCTGGAGGCGCTGCGAAGCTTGATGCGGCTTTAGTAATAGCGTGACGCGGATGAAGAGTCAGAGGAGTGAGAGCATGCGATGTGAATTCATCATGGTGCGCGACATGGTGTAGGCGTGCGAGAGGAGCTTAAGGACGAAGGAGTTCAAAGAAGCAGGGGCTAAAGATTGGACGGTTTTAAGTGCAGGGGCGTCAGATTTTTAAGGGATGGGAGGGGTGTGAGGACAAGTCACGATTGAGAGGAAGTGTTGGGATTGAGTGCGATGGCACGAAAAGGTAATCGGAGTGATCGGCCGGTGGCTTGGGGTTTGCGTGGAATCAAGTTGTGAAAACTCGCTGTGTGCAACAAGTGGACGCATAATGACAATCATTATAGCGATTGCGTTCAGATAGAGTCAGAGCGCGCGCGAGATAAATGACTGGAAAGAGTTTTTTGACGAGATGAGCAGGAGAAGAGCGATCTAGTGAGAAGCGATGCATAAATTATCGTCTTCCTACTGCAACAAGCATACTTGCCAACATTTGTGCTAAAAGTGCATTGCCTGTACTATCAGTACCGATCTTTGCAACAACGCTGTCCACAGCGTCGCAGCCAAGCATCGTCGCTGTGTGATTAAGTGGCAAGTGCACTGGCGCTCGGGAAGGGAGAGTTGCTTTTAGGTAGTGCCTGTTGGATTTGGAGTTGTCTTATCGACACCCCCTTTCGGGTCAACGCCCTAACTGCCACTTTTGGTAGTTATGTTGGTTAATTTGTGTGCTTCCACTAAGATCTAGAAGATTCTTCGTTTGGGTAGAGCAGGATAAAATAAAGATTCTTTATCTGGATTAATTAAGTCACTGACGAGGCCACGGAGGGATGCCGAAACATGTCTGGCACTCTTTTAATAAAAAAAGTCATTTATCATGCTTTCTCTCTTTCCAACAGTGTCATTAAGTACAAGCCTTTTGACGGTCGAGTTCGGCATCGCGTACGACGATAGAACCTAAATAATAGTGAGCTGACGTGTCTTCCAGCTGCAGAAAGAAGGATGCATACGTATGCGATAATTAAACTTTCAGCGTTTGAAATCGTTAGTAGTTTGCGATTAAATGGCGGAGGAAACGTCAAATAGTGGGGAGAATTTTTACATAGTCAGCAGTTTCCTTCGCGACAATACAGATGCGACTTCGCTGCAGCTATTTTTCTTTTTGCTACTTGAGTTCGCTGCTTCGGATGCCGTTGTTGCTGCTCTTAAACTTGTCAATAGTGTCGACTCACATGATTGGCTTTTGAGCAAAAAGATGCAAGACTGGAAAGCGTTTAGCTCATATTCACTATGTTCTATATATTTCAGTTCTTATTTTTATCAGGCATAAGTTTTTCTTGAATCTCGTGCAAAACCGTTATTTTTTAAATCCAAGAGATGATCTGAGTCGTTGCGTCTACTTCTTTTGCGAACAAGTTCCCGGATCCTGACGTCTTTCAAAATGACATTGATCGATACTGTATGTCATTCCCACCTTCGACTGTAATCTTAGTATCACTACAAACAATTGTCTTTCGGAGGAATATTCAGATTGAGACCCAAGTAACGTTATGGGTGGGCGAGCTCTAATTTTTCATACTAAGTTAATACAGTGCCTGTCACATACGGCAACGATGTGTTTACGCAATTCTGCCAGTTTACATACATCAGAAAATCTTCTTTGTTCTCACTTTACTCGTGATAGATTATGTCATCAAATGAAAACGAAACCACTTCAACATATCAATGGCGATTAAGTAGTTATGCAACATCCGGGCGTGCACCTATGTATGTAAAGTGCAATAAATACTTTTTCATTTTCATAACACTATGTTTCCCACAGTCTGCTGGACAAACATGGAGTCCCATATTTGCAGTCTTCATAGTTGACGCATGCGCAGGTGCCTAAATTAGGTGTCTACCTTACCATAAATACTTGCATTCTTGTCTGATGACCCGTCCTTGCTGCCAGACCTATGCTACACCTTTCGTTGGCTATGAGATCTCTATAGAATTTCAAATGCTCACAGTCTATACACATGGACGTTGCAGCGCGCAGCGTCTCTTTTGCAGCACAACCACGAGTAGATTACATTCCTTGTCCCCTCGTCGAGCGCATTATATGTATTACATAACTATTCCTGTCATGTGCTTTGAAAAAGCATAATGTAGCGGAAGGCTAGAGATGATATCTAGCCGCATACGACTGATTCGTTTCACTTGTAGTTTATTTTAATAGGGATGAATCTATGAAGTTGCTGCATGTGGTTGTATTAAAGGTAGGAGGTAAGTATAGTAAACGACTTGTATATTACCGCGCACCAGACGCGTTTCGGCCCCCCGCCGGGGACCTCATCAGTGGTTTGTCAATCTGCAAGTGAGAACTATCCATACATCTAGCTGCTGTACGACCTATTATAATGCAAAGAACCCTAAAGAACATTCTACACACACCCTGTCATGGGTCAAATCTCTGGAGTCGAAACCCGTGCATCATAATATCAACACTCCCCCTCGACGACATGAGATGAAGACCACTTGGGTATCGATCCGCCTGTATATCCCACTGCTACACCGGCTCTCCATGGAAATCTTGATTGAGGCTTGCCCCTGCGTTCCAGCCAAACTCGATGATACCGAGCGTTCCAGGTATTCCGGCTCCCCCATCGTCCAGCACCACGTCACATCTTGACACCCCGTAGTCGTCGTTCTCCTTGTATGTAGCTTTCGCTTCTTTTTGACCACAAACATACTCGTCACCACTTGACTTGACTCTTCCTTTGATAGCACTCGCGCATTCAGACCATCTTGCAACACCGCCCTTGCACATACCCTTTTCGACTGCACGCGCACCGTCAACGATCCCTGTCGATGAATTATTCGGCGCCTTACTAGTGCATCGAGCGCCTTCTCGAGCGGGGTGTCCCTCTCACAAGTTGGTCCTTGGTGAGATGTCTGCAGCGAGCACTTGGGCTCATAACCTGTTAAAAGCGGGAGTTAAGTATGGTAAACGACTTGTATATTACTGCGCACCAGTTGCGTTTCGGCCCCCACCGGGAGCCTTATTAGTGGTTTGTCAATCTGCAAGTGAGAACTATCCATACATCTAGCTGCTGTACGACCTATTATAATGCAAAGAACCCTAAAGAACATTCTACACACACCCTATCATAGGTCGAATCTCTGGAGTCGAAACCAGTGCATCATGCACTTCCAACAAGTTGTGTATACTAACGTTTGCGTCTACATTCAAAAAGTTTCATTATGAGTTGTAGGCAAGATGCGTGTTGCGAGAAGGAAGCGTTAGGTGAACAATAAGAATCTGTTGTATTTCCTTACTAGTTCTCTCTTCTCTGTCATGCTCGCCAAAGCCCTCTGCTTTAGTCATCCATCTCACACGCATTCTGGCTCTACTCGAATCACTATCCTGCTTGTCACTCTGCGTCCACCTTTTACGCACAGCGAGTTTGTGACATCAAGTTTCCAAATAAACCCCAAGTCACCGGTCGAACACTCCGATCACCGTTACGTACCCTTGCACCCATTTTCAACATTCCAACATGAGTGCACATCGGGAGCTAAAGAATTAAGGCCTGATGACGGTGCGCTAAACGAATTGACACTTTGCTTGTGGAATCACAATACGATATTAGCTTAATTCGCTGTTCGACACAATGTGCTAGTATATTGCAATATCTCCACATCACTGCCAGCAGAGCAAGTTGAAACTGCGTATACTTCAAAGTTTCTGACAAATTTGCAATATCGACAGAGAGACTACGAAACAATGACAATTCAAACAAATTCGCTAAAAATGCTCATGCTTACGGTGATATTCTGATCCAATGGCACGTCCTGACCGCGGCACCACAACTACTGATTTCACGTGCCGCTGCCGCGTCTCGTCTCAATATCTGCGCTCGCGACCAAGTGGATCGGGACAGTATCTTCTCTGCACAACCAATGACGGTCTTTTTGCCGTCTGCCGCCTTGCACTGGGCGCTTCAGACGTCAATGATCCGATTCAGATCGATGCGTCCGTGACGATCCAACGCAAATCGCGGGTTTTCAGTGATTTACAGCCATCTCTTCTTGCCCAGAGCGCTATTTCCAATGTGATCAGTCCCAACTATGAGCTGCACTACATCGCTCCGAGAGCTGTGCATGTCGCTGTGGCGGTGACGCTAGAGCTGCTGCCTTCGTCAGCGACCAAGCACCAACAGAACCAACTGCTTCAGGACGCTGATACACGCTCCTTGTTGCAGCAGACAATTCGGCGCAACTATGTTGTTTGTTTGGATGCAAGAGTGAGGCTTCCGACACTTGACGGACTCGTGACGGAACAAGAGGAGCACATAATGACCTTCCGTGTGGTTTCGACGTACCCGACAGGGGCCTTCGTGCGGATAACGCCTGGTACCCGCGTCACATTTACGGATCCCAGTGAATCTGTTAGACCAAGTGCAGACAAAAGGAGAGAGGAGACGAGTGGTGACTCGATCGAGGTATGTGTGGAATCGCAACAGAACAACGGAGGAGTAATCATAGGAGGCATGGAGAAAGAGCGAGCTGCTTTACGTGAGCTGATTGTTCTGCCAATCACTCATCCACGACTGCGCTCGGACGTAGGCGTTGAGTTTCCGAAGGGTGTCTTACTATGTGGACCGCCAGGTGTGGGCAAAACACTGCTTGTGCGCTCGGTCGTTCATGAGTGTCGTCAGGTGAAAGATGCGTCCGGCGCTATGTTGGATTTAAATTTGCAAGTTATAAATGGATCCGAGTACATCACTAGTGGACGCGGTGATGCGGAGCGAGCTTTGCGTGAAACGTTCGAAAAGGCAGTGGCCCACGCTCGTAGTGCGCAACACGCTGCTAGCGTAATCTTTATCGACGAAATAGATGCACTGTGTCCTAAGCGCCAAGCTACTGGAGGGTGGAGCTCGTCAGCACACAGCCGTATCGTTGCCCAGTTGCTTACGTTGTTGGACGGTGTAGAGGGTGGTCTCTCGCAGGAGAACGTGGTTGTTGTCGCTGCGACGAACCTGCCTAATTCAATTGATCCCGCATTACGTCGACCAGGACGCTTTGACCGCGAGATTCTGGTACCCCCGCCAGATGCAGCATTGCGTAAAACGATTTTCAGGGTGAATCTTTATCGAACACATTACGCCATAAGCAGTGGGTCACAGGAAAATGCAGAGAAAGAAAAGCTACGTGACAGTTTTCTCAACACGTTGGCTGCGAAGGCCGTAGGCTACGTTGGCGCTGACATCGTTTCTCTGTGTCGTGAAGCTGCTATGATAGCATCCACACGGCAGCTTGTGGCCCTTTCTCAAGATCGTGAGCTCGAGCAGTGGTGGGTAGACTGGAAACGAAGAGGAGAACCACTCACTGCTGCCAAGGGTCAATCGACAACGCTTGGTTCCATAGTCGCCGGTCGAGCTTGGCACACAAATCCTGCTGCGATTATTCCGCTGTGGTTTCTTGTCAAACAAAGTAAACACCATGATGCTAGCAAGAATGCTGAGAAGGACCAGCAACAAGTATCGCAGTCGGGATTTTTTCACTTTTTACTTGGGATCGAGCAGAAGCGCACATTTGCTTCGCCATGTCCCGGTAAGGACGAAGAAAAGACAGCGCGGAGCTTTGAGGTGACTATGTCAGACTTCGACCAAGCTATGCAGACTATCGTACCTTCGGCTCTTCGAGGCGCGAGTGGATTTATGTAAGTGGTGATTGGCAGCTTGGTTTGCCACTGGATTCGATCATGTGAAAATTCTGTGGACTAACGATGATTTGTGCTGTAATTCTTGCAGGAGAGACTTTGAAAGACATGGCTGGGACAGTATCGGTGGTCAAGTAGAAACCAAGCGCGCGCTGCAGCAGGCACTCGAGTGGCCCATCAAGTATCCGCAGACTTTTGCCCGTCTTGGCGTCAAACCTCCCCGCGGTGTATTGCTTTACGGCCCGCCTGGATGCAGTAAGAGCTCTGTTGTGCGTGCAGCGGCTCATTCAAGTGGTGCTACTTTTCTTTCGCTCTCCGCGGCACAAATATTCTCGCCGTTCTTTGGTGATGCTGAGGCTGCCGTCCGTCAGGTCTTTCGTGATGCACGTGCAGCACTTCCTGCGATCGTCTTCTTTGACGAGATTGACGTGATGGTTGCCAAGCGCGACTTCGACGGGTCGGGAAATGGAGAAGGCACTAACTCGACTGCGACGCGTGTTCTTTCCACTATGCTTAACGAGATGGACGGTGTCGAATCGGCAGAAGGACTCCTGGTCATCGGTGCGACGAACCGACCGGCTTGTATTGATGCAGCTCTCATGCGGCCTGGACGGTTCGATCGCATCGTGTTTGTCGATCTACCAACGGAATCCGACCGTGTCGACATTTTGCGTATTCACTCACGTCCGATGCAGCTGCACGATGATGTCGACTTGATCAGTTTGGCAAACCGGACGCCATTTTTCAGCGGAGCCGAACTGGAGGTACGATACCGACTGATATGAGCTATTCGCCAGCGAACTATGTTGCCAACGTGTATGCCTCTTTGTTACGTATTGCAGAATCTCTGTCGTGAAGCGGCGCTGCTCGCTCTTCGTGAGTCGCTCGATGCCGAAAACGTTCGCATGTGTCATTTCGACAACGCTCTTTGCGACATTATTCCCGTATCCTCAAAAGAGTCCATGAGCACGTACATGGACTTTGCTAAAGCTATGGGCCACCTTTCATAAAAAAGTCAGCTACAAATGGAGCTTCCAACAAGCAATCGACAAGCAATCGACCACGTGTTGGTTCCCCCACGACACTACCACTCTACCATGAAAATAATATCCCACGCTCACTCCAGGTCAATTTGTTTAGTTGCCACCTAGAACAAAAGTTCCCCGCCGTCCGTAAAGCTCACCTTGTGTTGCAGACGGGTGCCGTCTTTTTCCACGCCTGCTCCCTCCATTTTATCCACAACGTCAAAGCCGTCGATCACCTCCCCAAACACCACGTGCATGCCATTGAGATGCGGCGCTGCCTTTAGCATGAAACAGAACTGGCTGCCGTTCGTATTGCGCCCAGAGTTGGCCATCTGCAGCAAATAGCGCTTCGAGTGCTGGAGTCGCAGTCCATTCGGTTCATCGTCGAATGCGGCACCGTAGATACTGCGACCGCCAGTCCCCGTGCCGCGCGTAAAATCTCCACATTGAACAATAAAGTCCTTGATAATGCGGTGACACACACTGCCTTTGTATGAATACTCGGGTCCCTTCTCGCCCGTTACTAACGCACGGAAGTTCTCCGCGGCTTTCGGTACATGATCAGCGAACAGCTCAATTGTAACCCGGCCCACGTCTTTGTCGTCAATTGCGACATCCAGCCACACGTATTTACGGTCAGCTCGGGGCTCAATGGGCAGTTTCTTTGTGGCTAAGATCCCGCTCTTTTCCTCCTCCTCGCGAGCTGAATCTTCAAGTTTTCCAGGTGCGTTCGTCTGCGACGTCCCGTGTGAGGGATTCTGGGGCGACAGGTCAAACAAGACATTCATGACGAAGAAGTAGGACACAATGAGCAGTCCCATCGCCAATACAATTGCCTTGCGGGCGTCCCACGTGATGCCACGTCGGGGACCCATGGAAAAGACTGGACCAAGCTTGTTGGGAAGACAGGATCCCACCTTTTCTTGGTAGGAATTGACAGGATCCCACCTGTTTTTTGTGAAGATTCGCCTCCTTCCTGCTAATCTCGATTTTCATGCCCAGTCTGTCCACACCATCACTACACAACAAATGCTTGCACTCTTGAGAAGAAGTATTGCAGTATGAAGGAATTTGTGGACGCTGTCGATTGTTTCACGTAGCCAGGGAGACATTTTAGCCATACCTATACATTTTACGGTGAAAGAAAATTATAAAATTACCACTCACCACCTGCTCGTTGGATGTTCCCGTCTACAAGCACAGAATTACAAGATCGTCAATCACTAAAAGAAGTTCTCGAATTACATGCCTGCTAGTAGCGTACTTTTGTTACCCACACCAAGCGTTAGACTCATTGCATCACGGAGAGGTTGGAAGGAAAAAGCTTCGCTTTCGACGGCTGGGTGCTCGATACCTAACATCATCGAGTACACATGGGAGAGGTTTTCGTTCATTAGTTGTCATGGATCAAACCTCGTTACTTCTGTACGAGAACAGGATGAAGTGTCTTCGCACAAATGCAATTCGGTCAGTTGTCGCAAATTACGAGCAGCTCCTTTCGAGTCCGTGGATGTAGTAGACGAATATTAGGTATGAAATTAACGTCGCCTTTACTTGTTACAAGACGTTTGTGTAACGGGTAGCTTTTTACATGATATTGACACCAAACAGTGTCAATTGGAATATTGTCTCGTGTGAAAATCTCCTGCTAATATTACCAGAGATTGGTAATATTGAAGGAAAATTATCACCTTGCGGATAATAATCATGCGCTGCTCGAAGATTAGTTGATATAAGACATATCAACCATAGATTACCACCAATCGCTGCTAGACGCGCGCAATGAGTGGTGAGCAGGTTGTCGTCAAACGACGACGTAGTTTATAATAGTTAGATAAAGACTAAATTTATTTTAATAGCTTAACTATTATAGATGGAATTCTCTTTTTACTTTCACTCAAACTAGTAAGTGAGTAGATAAGCTTCCTCTGCACGAAGAAGAGTACGTATGGTTTCGTGGCACTACAACAAAGGGTGCCCCGTTACAGTTTAAGTTCACAAGAGGAACTCGTGCTTCACCTGCAACCTTCTCACTAGACGAGGGGGGCGTACATGATAATTATTGCGTACATTGTAACGGGGTGAATCGTTACATAACAATTTATAAGAAATTGTTAATAGAATATAACTATAAGAGGTATATTCTCAGAATATTGTCACAACGACAAATATTCTGTAGCACTTACGAGTAGTTCCTAATTGGTTGATATAGGCCATTATATCAACCAACGAAGACGCGCCACGACAGACGCACGCAATGAGTGGTGAGCAGATAGTTGATTTACACATTTGTATTTAGACATAGTTAGATGAAGATAAATAGTGATTTATTGCAGACATTAACTATTATAAATACAGTTCTACTTTTTACTTTAACCAAGTACTCGCTTCTTCTTACCGTCTTCCTCTGCACGTACGAGTGTACGTGAAGTTACGAGGCACCGCCTTATTCTGTCATCAGGATAAGTAGCTTGTACTGTCACCAGTACAAGCTTCAGGGTGCCCCGTTACACCTGGTAGCACTTCGTAGTCCGTCCAAGGACCGCGTTCACATCTAACATGAATATGTTGGATGATGGAGATGACCAAAGCTTCCACGCTACGCGTGACGGCTACTCCCATTTGAGCGATGTCGAATGGGATGCGGTTGAACGAATGGGTTCAACCATGTGCATCCATGCTGTTAGCGTCATGCTAGAGGCTCTCAATAGAGATGCCCAACATGCTACTATCGCCAAGTTCATTCAAAATGAACTTGACGCTGAACGCGATAAAGTAGCCTTGCTTCACCAACAAGGTTCTCAACAAGCAGAGTTGTTGAGAGAACAGGGTGCTCAACAGTTTGAACTGTTGAGACAGCAGCAGGCTGCTGCTGGTGGGTCGATGCACTCGCGTCGACCCGAAACCTTGAAGATTGACATCTCCAAGTATAGGGGAGTCGAAGAGGACTCCCTCTTGAGGTGGTTCGTCGAATTGGATGACGCCATAAGGGCGCGTCGCATCGACGACGGGGATATGCAAGTTGCATTTGCCCAGTCAAATCTGGCAGGACGTGCCAAGACTTGGGCACTGGGGCTCAAGTTGCACGACCCATATGCGTTTGGGTCGTTGGAAGTCTTCAAGTCGCGGCTCCGACAAACGTTTGAACCGCCTAGAGCTGAGTTCAGAGCTCGAACCGAACTCTTGAAGCTCAAGCAGGGTAAGCGTGATGTGCACGCTTACGCGCAACATATACGACATCTCACGAGTTGTATAAGTTCCAACCCGGTGGATGAACACACGTTGGTTTCGGTGTTCATGCAGGGTCTTGCGGATGGTCCCGTCAAGCCTCACCTGTTCCGGCTTGAACTAGATTCACTAGAACAAGCCATTTCCATTGTGGAGCAGGAAGACTTCAGTCTGAGACAGGCTCACGCCAGCTCGACATCATATCGTCAACCGAGACGATATGACAGCGGAGTTCCAGAGCCGATGGAACTCTGTTATGTAGAGAGCGAGAAGGCTCGCTCTACAGGCTACAAGAAGTTGCAGAGATGCAACAGATGTCAAAAGACAGGACACTACGCTTACGAGTGTAGTGCCCCTCGTCCAGTGTCTCGCGATACTGGGCGTAGTGACCGTCCACCCATGAGAAAGGGGCAGGGACGAGGGTCCGCAGTTGGTGCAAGGACGCAACAACGGGATGGACCGTCAAAAAACGGACAGGATCAGTAGGTGCGGAGCACCCTACTGGTCCAGCAACGTCAAGAGAAATTGTAGGCCTCTTGATGAAGGTTGCTCCCAACACACAAACGTTGTGCGTTGCTGCTCTAGGTAATGAGGTCTCACTCATTACCTTGAAACTCGAAGTGACGAATAAGTTGTCCCTTCGAGCTCTAGTCGATTGTGGGGCGTCCAACAATCTTGTGCGACGCCAATCGCTAGAAGATGGTCACTTTAAATTCAGTGAATGTGACACACCTCCTACGAGGATGACGGTACGTCTTGCGACAGGCGCATCCGTAACCGTCATGAAGCGTATAGTGAAGATCCACTATACGCTAGAAGATACCCAATTTGACGATGACTTTATCGTATTGGATTTGGATGACAAATTTGATGTCATCCTTGGAATACCGTGGCTCAGAAGGTACGAACCACGGGTAAACTGGCAACATCGAACAGTAACGATGCCTGCCGCTTGTTCATCAGATGGCCATCTGATGAACGTTTTGGAGCGTCCACAAGCGTGTGGATGTACTACGAGTGAGTGCGATGGCCTCACTTGTGGTACGGTCGTTAGTACGACTGCACAAAACCTTAGTGTACCAAACGGTTACACTTCGGAGCAAAGTTCCGGCGGCTGTGAGGAAACACAGGCTGCGCCGAAGGTCCACCACTCGAATAAGTCGGGTGGACTGGGACAAAGATGTATTTCTAGCGGGGAACATCTAGAAGAGAAACAATCGATCGCTCAGGTTAAGCGAAACGATAATCCTAGAGCGACTGGAGATTCTTTCGTAGAGGATCTCGCTGTGGTTGCGCAACCCCAGCTAGAGGAAGTAAAGGGAATAAGTCCCAAGATTACAAATACGGCGGAAATAAGTTCCCCGAAACCCGCGGGAATAAGTCCCCGGGAAGCCGAAGGAATAAGTCCTTCGAAGCCTGAGGGAATAAGTCCCCAGGAAATGACAGAGACATTGAATGTCATAGTCAATAACGGATCAAGTGTAGGCGCTTATACACTTGATCTGATTGCGCCTCCGAAGTTAACTTCGGAGATCACTCAGTTGCCAACGCTCGAACATAAAAGGTTCTTGCGTGATCTGTGTAGTGGCAAAGTCAATCAGATCTGCGTACTCGTCGCTGACGACGAGTGTGTAACCGACATAAGGTCAGCAACAGTGTTTACTGAGAACGAGAGAGTTCTCAGTAGTTCATCTATGGACGAGAGTGTCCTAGATGAAAAGACACGAATTGAGCGATATGACTCCCAATCGTGGGAATCGCTCAAGAAAAATCCGCTCTATGAAGATTTGGTTGAATTCAAGGATGTATTCCCTGAAACTGTTCCGTGCGAATTACCGAAGGATAAAGGTATTCGACACGAGGTCATGCTTAAACCAGGCTCGAAGTACTGTGTCATGAAGCAGTGGCCACTGCCTCGTGAACAAGTACTTGCGATCGACAAGTTCTTTGCCGATCGTTTAGCTGCGGGCCATGTGAGGGAATCAACTTCCCCACATAGCTCTCCGACCTTCTGTGTGCGAAAAGCAACAGGAGGGTGGCGGATAGTGCACGCGTTCAACAAATTGAACGCTGCAACGGTACTGGCTCAGACGCCGATACCGAGGAAGGACGTAATCATTGATGGTATGTCAAAGAGTACCATCTTTTCGTCCATGGATTTGATGGATGGCTTCTATCAAATCCTTATGCGAGAACGGGATATACCCTATACCGCAGTTAGCACGCCTAGCGGCATGCTCTGGGAATGGCTAGTAATGCCACAAGGGCTTAGTAATGCCCCTGCCACGTTCAACAGATGTGTATCACATCTGTTGAGACCAGTACGAGAATTCGCGCCGAGTTATTTCAATGACGTATTCATCCATAGTCGAGCTATGGATGGAAAGTCGAACGTTGAGGTTCACAGGTACCACGTCCGACAGGTTCTTACAATCATGCGAAAGCATCAATTGTACGCAAACCTCAAGAAGTGTATATTTGCAGCAAGCGAAATACCACTTCTTGGGTGCATCGTTGGTAAGAACGGTGTACGTCCTGATCCCGAAAAGATCAAGGCGATCACCGACTGGCCTGTGCCGGTTGATGTCAAAGGTCTTCGAAAATTCCTTGGGCTAGCGGCGTATTTGCATAAGTATTCACGCAATTA